CACGCAAGCAACGGACATATGGCAGATCGCAGACAGATTTCAGGCAGACAAATGGTAGATCGCACGTAGGCAACAGACAGACAGCAAACAAACAGATGTGAAAGAGCAGATAGATTTCAAATCGCACGCAGACGACGGACAGATGGTAGATAGCGGACAGATTTCAGAGACAAATTTGCAAAAAGACAGACTTGCAAAAGGCATTATCTCAAAATCACAAGATCTCCCAGTATAATCTAGGTTGAATGTACCCGGAGAAACATGGGTTTTTAGGCTAGATCTACGATATGAGAAAATAGGCTATGATACCATGTTATAAATTTTTGGGAGAATATAGTGAAATTGTCTTATTGATCATAAAAATAAATGACCTATATAATACAAAACAGACTCAATATGTTCAAATCCAAGTAATCTAATATATTGATAAGATTAAATTTAAATATAAATTTTATTAAAAGTTATTGATATATTTCTTTTTCTCCCAAACTTTTTGTCTGGATTGTGAGGGTGCACGCATTAAAATTTGTACATTAATTTTCTTCATTTAAAAAATATATACAAAAATAGCATCTTGATCAATTAATGAATTAGGATTATGTTTATCATTAAATAATAATTATAGGAAAACTTGGCAAATCTAATGAATAAAATAGACGGGATTAAAAATTTTAATTCATTTCAATGGTATTATTGTGGGTTATTTATGGGTGGAAAAAAATATCGATTTACTGAAATATCGATATATTTACCAAAAATATCAAAGTTTCACTACTACAAAAAAGGTTGATAGTTGCAGAAATTTATCACATATTTTAATTCGCAACAATAAAATATCACGGTGAGCAATTTCGTGACAAATTTATATTAAAAGTTCTTGTTTTATCTATGTTGTGGGTAATAATTGCAGAAAAACTACAAATAGTTTTTTGTGATTATTTAAACTAGTTGTTTATGTAACGAAAATGTCCAAAATATTTATATTCCGTGTCTTTTGCTTATTAAGTCACAAATATTGTCACAAATTTTTTTTTTGACTAATTTAAGTTACGGCATAAATGGCAAAAATATTTGTAACATTTTAAATTATTATAGATATTGTTGTGAAAAATTTCTATGACTTTTTAAAATCATGGCATAAGTAACGAAAATAACCCCAATTTTTTTTTATTACCATTTATAGCTATTTAAATAACAACAAAATAATAAAATTATCTTCAATATTTTTATATTTTACTGGAGCGAAATTTTAATTCTACATTTATTTTTATGTATAAAAAAGATTGTAGTTACTTACCATTACATTATAAATAATTCAATTTATTGCATATATTGATGTAATATAATATTTAACTATTTATTGTTACCATATATATCAATAATAGATTCAATAAATGTATTGTTAATTTTGAATTTCATGTGATATATTTATAAGAAAATGATTGAATTTAAAAAATAATGATTAAAATAACTGATGGAGAATCGAGATAGAAGATGATAATTTTATTTAAGAAAAAAAAGAGAAAAAATCTGTTTGGGAATTTTTACAAAAATAGCAGCTTGCTCAATAAATGACATAGGATTGTGTCTATTCAACAATAATTATAGGCAAAATTGGCATATCTAATTAATAGAATAGATTGAATTAAAATTTTGAATTCATTTTAATGGAATTGTTGGTTCATTTGCGGTGGAAAAAAATATCGAATTACCGAAATATTATGCATATCGTATAAAAAATACCAAATTTTTGGTATACTGAAGATTTCACTATAGTACTGAACTTTTTTTGTACAGTAATCTTATATTTTTGACATTTTTTTTTTGATATATATCGAAAATATTGTATGTCATTATGATATTTTAGCATTTGGTAGATTGATACATACCATAATTATCTTTTTAATTATTTTTTAGAATTATAAAATTATTTTTAATTTCAGTATTTCGGTATGAAATGGTATGTATTGATATAGTACGAGCAATTCGATATATCAAATTATTGGTATGGTAATATGATATCAGTATATATGTCATACCAAATTTTTGGTACAATATCAATATGGTCTTTTTTTAACGTACCAAAAATTTCGATAGAGCATGCGGTATGATTCAGCATTTTTCAATATACCGTGTACTACTAACTGTTCTTTTTTTTTTTCTTTTTTTTTTTTGCCTTTCTTCAACAAAAAAAAAAAAAAACAGTTTTGACATTTCTTATAAAATAGTTACTTTATATAATTATTTTTAAAAAAAATGACATAAAATATGGGACAGATATAATCGGCAATGTTGATGCAGTAGATGAGACAGATTGAGTATATTGTTTAAATTAAATATATATTCTTATAATATACTCCCTCCGTCCCATGTAATATAAGTGTATTACCGTGGATACATGAATTTAGGTAAAGTATAATTAGTAAGTAATTAAGAAGTGTATTAGTAAAAATAATTATTATTTAGTAAAAATAATTATAGATTAACATTAAAATAACTAAATAGTTTAATTGAAATTAAGAAAATTATAAAATTTAAAATTTAAAATGCGATTAAAGTGCATAATTATATTTCCAAAAATAGAAAGGACAAGTTACGTGGGACAGACGAAAATAGAAAATAGGGACAAATTATGTGGGACGGAGTGAGTATTATAATATATTGTTTGCTAAAAGGTAATATACCATTTTGCATGAAGCATCAATAAGTAAGCAACCCTATAAATCTAACAGATTTAATTAATATTCATTTTAAATTAAACTCATTCATCAAATATGGAAAAATTTATTAATTAAATTTTATTGTCCATAAAATTCATCAAGTCACGAGTAATCCTTTATGATACAAAGTTACAATTTGAAAATTCAAGTAATTCACCTATACAAGTTATATATAAGCTACTAGGCTACGCAAAATTCATCAATTACAAGTAGCCTTTTTTTATACTAAAAAGTTACAATTTGAAAATACTTTTTATTCACCTTGACAAGTTTCTTACTAATTATGTAAAGCAAGGTTTAAAATTATTTGAATACTTTGTCTTAAATTTTTTGCTATTATTTTTAGTTTTGAATATTTCAAATCTTTTGGAATCTTTTTTTATTTACATAAAAAAGATTTATTTTATCATTTTAAATATAATTTATAAACTCATTTTAATTAGTTTTTGTGTCGAGGCATGACATGCCTATATGTGTGGCGGCCGTTACAGTGTTGAATACATATCAACATATTATTTATATTAATATAATAGAAGTACAACATATGAATTAACTATACATGATATAGTCTTAAGAGTACATACAACAATTGATTTTAGCATTATCATATATTCATATACAACATGCGCTATAAACATAAACGTATAGCAAGTTTTCACTTCACGCCGCACGTATTGTGTGAAATAAAGACATGTGCTATATATATTATCCGTATTGTTTGGGAAATCAGCACCATGTTGATTTCTCCAGTTCAACACGGTAACCCCTTCCTCATACATGTTGTTGTTTTGGTATTGGCGTATGACACTCCTATGGTATTTTTGAGGTGTTACAATGTAAGCACACATTTGGGGAGTCCTTTCAAGTTTCGAACATTGGCCCACCAAATAATACGTTGGAACATGCTGATATGAGGTATATTCCATATGCATCCACTATAAAAGCCTAATGTATGCAACGATTACTACAAGACCGGATATTGCACATATAGCGGGGGTGGTGAGCTGATTGATGAGTAATCCTGTAAAGAAACATTGGAAATGAGTAAAGTGAAGAATTATATATCTAGATATGTATTTACTTATGGAGGGACAGAAATCTCATGGACATCAAAACTATAGCTACTTAGTTGACGACAAAAGCTTAATACATTATAGTAATGAAGACTAGCAAGAAAATAGTTTGACTTTAAAGTTCATACTTGAGTTGGGAAAAAATCTAAATAACAGTTTTCCTAGTGACAGTTAGAGTGGAATTCACTTGGTTAAGAGTTTTGCATTTTATGCAAGAACAAAGCCTATTTATTGATCGAGGTTTAATTACATTCATGAGCTATTGAATGGAAGAATTTTGAAGTTTGAGAAAATTCAAAGATCGAAAAATCGAACTAACTTGTTAAAATAAAGTGGTTTTTAGACAAATTGAGATGTGTTTAGTCTCAATTGGTCTTGATGACGGAAAAAAAGAAACTTAACGACCTCACAATCACTATTGAAAAGTGAAAAGCAATAGCAGAGAAAGCATAGACTTAAAATAGGAGAGTATTATATATTTAATCCCTCGGATGCCAACGGTGAGACCGCCGAGGGGTTTTTTTTTGGGGGGGTTAAAGGGCCCCTTTTTTCGGGTTCGGCAGTGTGCCCCCCAAATTTTTTCCTTTTAATTTTATATTTTTTAGTCCATCCATACAATTCTCAAGCCGCGGACAACTAATGTGTGTTTTTTTTTTTTTATCTCACACTTGTATATACTTCTTATATTTTCTCTAAAACTAAGACTAAAAATACTAGTTAAAATATTTGATTTGACCACTCTATCAATTTTATTAAATTGGATCACCAAATTATTATCTTTTTAATTGTATTTTCATCTTGATTATCAAAATTTCTTTACAACTGGTGTAGTGAACAATTGAATACAAAGCATTATTATCCTAGTTGGTCATTTGTGTTGTTTTTCCTTCTAGATCTCTATGGAGTTTATATGTATATATATATATATATGTGTGTGTGTGTGAAGATTAAGTAATAGCTCAATAAAAAGCCCAAACAAATAGCATGGGAATTGGATTGTGGTTTAAGTTAGATTTCTTTACTCGGAATTGTTTCCTTTAGAATTTACATGTCTATATGTATGTATACTTTAATGTTATGAGTAAAATACAATCAAATCCATAGATACATAATTTTTTAGACAGTCATTTGATCATCTAACATAACTATGGTGTTTTCAACATATACCAAAATAATAAAAAATAAAACCCGAATCGATACACAAACACTGCATATATTATAAGATCAAACTCATTTGATACCAAAATTATTTCATAAACATCACCAAATATGCAACAAACAAACCTTAGCTTCTTACATATTCTCAAAGCTCATCAGGCAAACACACATGTTTTATGGTGAGCTTTCGACAAACATTATGGCATTACTTACGGTGAACACCAGCCTAAGATTCGAGGATATCACATTAATTTCATCTACTTATGTTCGGACAAAGTTGCCGACATCGTCATGGGGCGGAAACCATGCTCGAGGCTAGCTTGCCATATCTTTTCCACGTTGAGCATTGTGTTCCCACACTCGTGCTCACTCCATCCTTCGACAGCGTGCAATATTCCCGCTATTCGTTGGGCACTCATCACTCGTCTCGGCAACCAGTTCTGCCGAAAGGAAACACAAGAATATATATATATATATATATGTGTGTGTGTGTGTGGCTAGAACTTTGTCAAGAAAGTTATTAGAAGAGAAGATTGTTGAGGTATTTGAACTAGAGTTTAATCTAAGAAATTCCTATTAATATGGATGATAATTAGGGTTTTGAATCATCAATTTGAAAATAATTGAAACTTATACTTGTCTTTTTACCAAATTTAAGGTTGGATGTTAGGATTAAACTATTTTTATTGTCATTTATTTTTTTTACAAAACAAAGATGTATCCTTTTAATACTTTTTGTTGTAACCATTGCCAAGTCCTCTTTGATTACTCCCTTAGTCCGGTAAAATTAGCTCACTTAGGTTGACACGAAAATTAAAAAATATATATTTTATTAAAAAATAATAAAAATAAATAAGAAGATAGTTTAAAGTATTTTTGAAATGAAAGACGATAACATTGAGAGGAAGGTTGTCATTTCTAACCTCACAAGAATCGACATTCTCAAAATGCTTTGGAGCCAACATTGATGGTGTGTTGTTGTACACACAATCTTTGCGCACTTTATTCGGAGGAAATTGAGAAAATGGAACAAATATTGTCCCTTTCGACGCCTTCAACTGGTCATCATCACTTATTCCATCTCCGACCAACCATACCTGCGCGATTACGCTTAATTCTACTTAGGATTCATTTTTTTTAAACAACGAGATAGAATAAATTCACCGTGTAATCAAAGAAATGACTTTAAAATAAGTCTATCACTTCCGTAGTACTAAGCATGAAAAATAATAAACATGTAGAGAACATATAATTAGGTTAAACACCTTCGGAAGATTGTATTGAGAGATGGCCAATTTGTTTGCAGCCTTGCTATTAAAACTCGACTTGAGCTTCTTATACTCGTCCTCGCGAAGAGTGAATACCTATTTGATTTGAAATAACAAGGAATCTATGAAGAGCCATACTAAGCCACAATAAAATGTTCCATCCTATTGTTTAAAACAATTAAAATGGATTCATTCATAGAATAGAATGTACCTCGACTTCGTCTTGGCATAGGGCTAAGGCAATCGAATAAGCAATCTTATTTAGATTGCCTCGAAGTAGCACTTGAGTTGTTCCTTTGGGAATGCTGTTTAGCACAATAGCGACAGCTAAACTACTTCCATCGACTAATTTTACCTTCAACTTCGGGTTTCTTGTTAAGAACAACTCGCCATTTCCATTGAGAACCTCGTCCTAAACCAAACATAAAAATTCAAAATTCAAACTTTAGTGAGAAAAGGAAAATGAGAAGATTTTGAATTCAATCGAACTATTTTCATACAAATACTTGAGCGTGCCTGATTCAAGAGCCCTAGGCTTAGCACTTTAACTCCTTTCTCCTCGGCTTCAAGTATCGCATCCTCTATCATTTTATTAATCGACTCCCTTTGCCATTGCATATAATACTACACAAAGAACAAAAGTATACGTATTTGTTTCCATATCCCAAAAAAGATCGAGAAAAAGAAGAAGAAGAAGAAGGCTTACTTGAACGGTGTACTTGGGGACAACCCATGTTTGCAATTTGAGGCGTTTGAAGAGATTCCTTTCAACGATGAACGTACGACCATAGATCAAAGTGACAGCCATCGACCATAAAGTGACAGGCGACATTAGCCACAAGTACCACTTGGACTTGTGCGGCTCGGAAGCCAAGTAGGCAAATCCTAACCGAAGATAGTATATCGAATTAGGTGTGGTTAGATGAGTCAAATGCACCACATCGGGCGACTCCTCTTTTCTTACTAGAGACTTCTCATGCAACGAATCCGAGGATTGGTCCATTGTTCCATAGACATAGTCGTAGAATGGCATGAATAGAGAGTAATTTGTCCGAAATTGAGTGTGGTGTAATGAATGGAACCTACAATAGCATCACAAACAACCAATTAATTCAACAACAATAGTTGACCCGTAAGAGAATGGTTCGATGGTTATGGGGTGAATTCATGACCGTGAATTCATAAGTTTAAACTCCGGACGTCTCTAGATCTAGATCTGACTACGGATTTCCAAATCATAAAAAAAAAAAAAAAAAAAAAAATATATATAATACACACAACAACAATAGTTGTGAATATGTATTATGTCAAGTATTTCTTTAATTACCTTTCCAATTTAAATCTTTTACTATGATCTCTTTGGACTATAATTGTCGAAATATTTATTAATCGATTAATCTTATTATTTTAATGGTACCTGGCAGTGCTGTTTACATCTCAGTAAATAATTCTTAAATAAGAACACTTCAAACTGCAAGTGAAGATCAGAATGTGTCCAGAGTCCAGACAGGTTTCTGATTCTTACACAACAAACTAGAACAGATGAAAAAGCTGATACAGTTTCAGTCAGACTACAGAATTAGAAACGAGGATAAAAATAGAAAGATGAGAAGCAGAAACAGGCATGAATTTAATGTCTTGTACTAAAACAATACAATATAATAAATCTTCTGAAATAGTAGTAGTTGGGATCGAATAAATTTGAGGTAGTTAAGACTTTAAGAGTGACTGTGTCTATCTTGAATGCTAATTTTTTACTCCTTTCCTCTCATCTTTTTCGTCAGCTATTTTTATTTTTGTTGGTCTCACATTATTTATCTTTTTTCTCTTTAGAAAATATAATTATACACTTTAGTCGCATTTTAAATTTCGTAATTAATAATTTTTTTAATCTTAATTATACTATTTAATTATTTTAATGTTAATCTATAATTAATTTTATTATACAATAATTAGTTTTACTAATATATTTTTTAATTACTTACTAATTATATTTTATTTTAAATTTCGTATCTACAATAAACGGGACACAAAATGTAGGACGGAGAAAATATTATTTTTAATTTTAGTTTTCTGCTTAAGTAGTTGTTTAGACATTTAAGATATTTCATCTAATACATGTATAATTAAGTGTGTATTTACAAATAGCATGTGAATGAAGATAGTATTTTGTGCATAGTTTACTATAAAACAATAAATAAGTCAAATACAAAATATTTTATGTATTTATAATAAAAAATAGGTGGTGTCACGCAATTTATCCTATAAATATCCATAATATTGTGTAACTATGTTAGCACCTTGAACATGAAAATAAATCAAAATCGATTTTTTTTTTTTTAATTTTAATTTTAAAAAATTGAAAAGTAACAATATTTCATCGAAATTTTATTAATTGTGAGATGTAGATAGCCACAAAATCGTCGAACAATGAATGTTCGACGACAAGGCATTTATTGAGCCTACAATATCACATTACTACGTACTAACAACATATAGCAGCTCCAATAAATGTATATCTGATCTGCTGTAATTAGTAAGAACCATGGTATGTTGAAAACTGATAGACACGACTATTTTATGAAAAAAAAAAAAAGAGTGGTCATTCTTTTAAAATTTTATTTAATTTTTTTATTATTCGATTTTACGATTTTACGATTTTCTATAAAAATACACTACTGCTCACAAAAACATGACATATAATTCACACTATTCAAATCAAAAATCAAAATTAAAAAACAAAGCTAAATCCCAGGAGAAAATTTATTTACATATATGTTCAATAATTTCTTCGCATTTTTAGTACGGATCTCAACTTCTTCGAACTAAATTACTTTTTTTTTTAGTATATATAGTTTAGATTATTTTTATTATTAGTGATAAAAAAATATATATTTAAAAATTACGGAGAATGATGATTTTGATTAAGTGGAGTTATTGAGTTTTATGATAAATATATAAATTTATAATTCATAAATATTTTAGTTAATAATATTTATATAATGAAATGGTCATTTCTAAAACGATGTTTCTGTAAAAGAACACAATCTAAGGATGTGTTAGTATGTAAATATATATATATATATATCTTGTTTCCGCACAATACAAACTATAGTAAAAATATATTTGTTCATCCATTTTTTTTTCAACACGACCCCCAGTATATATTTTACTTTTTTATAAAAATCAACATTTAATATAAAATATTATTTTTTTATATTAATGATATGATTTTTATATTTCACGTCAAAAAAAATCAAATCATAACACTAAACAATAATTTTTTTCTCTAAATACTTATCATTGCATCCAAGATGTATTTTAATCGAAAAATAATTTATTAAAACATAATTCAATCCAAAACAAACTTGAAAATGGAGGGATGGTAATGAATATATACTTACGAAGGCGTGTACATAATGTACTTGAGCGGAGGGAAGACAGAGAAGAGCCATTTAGGTATATGTTCGAAGTTGCAATGTCCCATGTTGTTCATGAAGTCGATGTAAGTGATGTAGCCGGCAAAGGAGATAAGGGAAGCTGTCCCGGTCCATATTGTCGTAAGAAGAGGAATTGCAAACAGCGCGAAGTATGCGATGTGCTCTCCGAAAGGATGGATCACAGCTGCATACAAGAATATTACGACCAAAAAATATAACTCATTATTTGTTCATCCTAAAAACTAAAAAATAAAAATAGGGGTTTTTTTTTTTTGTTAGAATAAAACAAATGAATAATAAGGTTTTGGAAAATAATAAAATAGTTAAACTTGCATGTGTTTTTTTACAAAGAATTCATTTATTTTTTTAGGGTATGTATTTGTGACTATTTTCCTTGAGGTGAGTATTGGCTTTGCATTTTTGTCCTATAGGTAATATATATATGACTGTGTGTAAGTTCAAATGTTTTAGAATTTGATATACAATATATAGACAAAATTGTAAAAAATATCTACCACGTATACTTAATTATCATTTTTATCTTTTATTTATCTAGCTGACAAAATATATCCTACACGTTTGCAAAAGTCATCATTTATGTCCTCCGCCGGAGCGTGGAATAGTCGTCGTATAAACATGACGCAAGGTTAGAGGACAAAAATGGTGAATTTTACATACGTGTAAGATAATTTTTTTTTTCTAACGAGATAAATAAAGGATAAGTGATAATTGGATATACATGGAAGATATTTTTTGTAATTTTCTCACAACGTATAAGGTGTTCACTAGTGTGTTTGTTTAGGGGTTTTAATTTTGAATAGTAAAAATTTTTGAAGTGGAATAGTTGATGTGCTATAAATAATTATTGATGTGACAGTTTAAATGTAAAATTAATTTTTTTTATATAATATGAAAAAATAAGTATTTAATCTAATTTTATTTTTTTTGATAGTTTGAACAGTGAATTTGATGTGTTATTTATGAGATCTAAGGTATTATGTTTTATCGAGGACTATATATATAGTAAGAAAGTTGAAAAAAATAAAATCACCAAGTAAAAAGACTTGTATTTTTTTTTTCTCTTTGAGATTATAATTTTCTTACAAGTAATGGGTTCGGTGACGATGGAGGAGTGGTGGTGGGAGTGGTAGCGCGAGTAGAGAAAGTGGTGGTGCAACGCGCGGTGCAACCAATAGTATAAAAACTCGACCGGCCCAACATGTAGCAAAGCTGTCAAGATTACACCATTGGTCCGCCACCACGGTAGATGGTGAGCTTGCTCGATGTACTTTTGCCCGATGTAGAACAATAGTCCATTGAATATTATTTGATCATCCCTGCGCGGCACTGTTCCATTAGATCGTTGAAATAGCTACAATATGTAATAATCATCAAATGCATATATATATATACTCCCTTCGTCTCGTATCTATTTATATGTTTGCTTTTTGCACGGAATTTTAAGAATATTAGTATTATATTGAGATGTAGTAGAAATAAAGGTAAAAAGACTAAATTAACTTTATTAGTATTGTATGATATAAATGTAATGGTATTTGTATAATATATTGTAAATTGGAAGAGTATTTTTAATGTTAGTATATAGTACATTTATTAAAAAAATGGATACTTTATTATGAGATGTACTAAAATAAAAAAATAGATAGATTGTTATGGGACGGAGGGAGTATTTACATATATATATATATGTATATACCAAGTTCTTTCGCGATCAACTTGATCAAACTCAATATTTTTGTCGACTATACGGTTGGCTCCTTTCGCAGTCCGGTATCGGGAGAGAGAAATCCATATCTGATTGTGCACCATTCTCCATATTAAAAAGGGAAGTATAAGAAACTCGGAAAAATCCCTCTCGCCCTCGCCCTTCGTCATGTATGAATACGTCGCGCGTATAGCGAAAGGAGCCAACACTACATACTACATATATACATCAAAAAATTCGAATCAAAATCAAAATCGAATAAAAATGAACCGCGCCGAGTTCAAAATTAAAAAATAAATAAATAAATAAGAATAATTGAACCTTGTAGGAGCCAAGAAATGTCCATGGCCAGTCAGTGAGAAACCCTGGTTTGGAAGCCATTGTCGATTTCTTTTTTCTGTTCGGCCAAACTCTTTGTCTGAATCACTTTCGATGAAGAATGTGTATATATATATATATAGATAGATAGATAGATAGATATATAATGTGTATGTGTGAAACTGTAATGTAATATACTGAATATAGTTTGCTATACCTAACACCAAATGGTGGTTAGTAATTGGCTATGCAAGATATGGTGTGAGGCGTTAAATTGGAGAATTTATTGGTCTCAACTGCCAATACAATTGCTCCATTTAATAATGCAGTAACATTATATATATATATATATATATATATAGAGAGAGAGAGAGAGAGAGAGAGGGGGAGAGAGAGAGAGGTTAGGCCAACTGGAAGGAACGTCATTTATATTGCTGCCGTGGGTTGAGCGCCAATTTTGGTGCATTTGAACTGTGCTGTGCTGCTGCTGTTGTATCTTCACATTCACTAACATTGAATGTATATATGATTTCGGGTCTGTTCGGTTTTTTTTTTTTTATATATATATACGATTTATTATACTATCTATGTCCATAAGAAGAATACAATAGATTTTTTGCAAGTTAATTTTTAAATATTAATTATTATATTAATACGTAATATAAATCAAGAAAAAAATATAAAAATATCTCTATTAGTCTCTTATAATACAAATACAATGACATTTATAGAGTAAGTTATACAAATATAAAAATATTTTTAATGTTAAGCATAATTATGCAAAATGCAAACGGTGCCCTTCTTATGGGACGGGGGTAGTATATTATAAAAATATATATACTCTTTTCATCCTATATAAGGTGATATGTTTGGTTTTCGCCGCGGAAATTTAGATGAATAGTATTAAGTATGATAATTTCGAAATTAAATAATGTTATAAAAGAGAGAAATGTGTATTTATTATTTTTATTTGAGTGATGTAATAAGATAAAATATAATGTATAGTTATTAGGGAGCTCATTGTTTATTATTTCGAAAATATTACAAAGTACGCGGAACAGCTTAATATAAGAGACCGAGGGAATATACTCATTAATACAATATATATATTATCAACTTACAAAAAGTCATAATTTAAAATAGATTTTTTTATTTTTTTTTCATATTTCCAATATGATATCTCATATTTAATATAAAATATATATATATATATCTAAAAATACAAACTGAACACAGGCTCCATTTACATATACATTTTTAAAAGTTTGGCATAAATATTAATTTAAAGATTTCATTTGTTCATGTATTTTTAAAAATGATGATATTATTCATCAATTATTACTTTTTAAAGAAAATGTCATATCAAATACTATATTTGTCCGGATCCAAGGGTCTCATTTACTTCTTGCGTATTGATATTTGAATATTAATTATTATACCAAAATATTGTACAAATTAAGAAAAAATTGCAAAAATACTTTCATTAATGTCTTATAATACTAATAGAAGGACATTTGTACAAAAAATTATACAAATATAAGGATATTTTTAATGTTAAGTACAATGACACAAAAGGTAAAATATAACCCTTAGAGACGGACCGATAAATATATTTTCGCATGTTGCATCATATGCAATTAAATACCTAACTTTTTATTTTGAAATTCTTCAAAATTCCTAAATTTTCGAAACTCATATCTAAACAAAAGCTATATGAAAAATAAAATAAAATAAAATAAAATCGCATCAAATATTTATTTTTTATTTAAAATTATTACATTACAAATATAATTTTTATATAAAATATCGCATCCAAGACCATTTACATCATATCAAATCGACAAATACTCAAATTTACTAACACCAAAACTTGTAAAACTCTTATCTACAGTACTCCCCCCGTCTCATATCTATATATCTATTTGCTTTTTGCACGGAGTTTTAGAAATATTAGTATTACATTGGGATAAAGTAGAAATAAATGTAAAAAGACTAAATTAACCATATTAGTATTGTATTATATAAAGATAATGACATTTGTGTAATATATTGTAAATTGGAAGGGTATTTGTAATGATAAATATTACTAAAAAAATAAATGAATACTTTGTTATGGGACGGATCAAAATAAAAAAATGGATAGATTATTAAAGGACGAAGGGAGTATAATTTTAGATAAAATAAGGGTTTGTTTTGTTCGTATTTCATATTGTAATTTATGTTTAAATGGTAGTTGGAGGCAGTGGTGTAGCCAAAGGGTGTTGGACCCTTAATTATTTTATTTTTAAATTTTACGTATCATATATATAAGTATAATTTTCAAACTTGAAACATGTTATTTCTAATGATTTAGTAAAAATATTATTATTACAAATATTTAATTTAATTTTCTAAATATAACTATTTGAATTTATGACTTTTTATTTGAAAAAAATATAAACAAGAAAGACAAACTAAAATTTTGATGGTTTGTATATACATATTTATTAATTTTAAGTCATATTATGTATTTTTAAAATATATATTAATTAGTATATATTTTTAAAAAATAATTCGGTCCCCACCAATAAATTTTTTGACTCTAGGACCCTGTTGGATGTGAAAGTTTACGAGAAGAAATAATCTATTTTTATAATGAATAATAAATATAAAAAAATTAAAAATTAAAACAGAACCTATTTTCTCTGAGTGTTTTTTTTTTTTCAGTTTATGTATTAGCTAATTCCATGATTTTCAATAATAATACTTCCTCCGGTCTATAAGAATGATACTATTTTTTATTTTTGTCCGTTTAAAAAAAATATCATTTTCTAATTTAGTAATCGTACTATCTACCTAATATAATTAATACTCTTACAATTTTTAATATATTACATATACTTTTATATCAAACAATCTAATAGGGACATTTTGGTCTTTTCTACTATAAATCAATATAAAATTAATATTCAAAAATCTACGTGAAAAAAAACAAATATTACTCTTTTTGCGGAAATAGTATATTATTTTTTTCATAAAACATTACATTTATTATTATTTAAATGCAAACTACAAATCAAACTCATAATTACTACTTATAGAAGTTTGAATTTTGTAAATGTATGTATCTTGTATTTGATTTTTTTTTTTTTTTACTTGATTAGGCATTTCACATTAAAATTTAGTTATAAGCTAAAAGGTAAGAATAAAATTGATATGCATTGCATATAGATAAGAAAGAATAAATGGTAAGAATTTGTTTTTGATGATGTTTTTGTTTAGTGTTTTTAGTTTAAGGTAATCTTTGTATGTATGATATAAAAAATCGTGTCGATAATATAAAAAGATAATATTTTATATTAAATATTAATTTTGTTAAGAAAATATATATATATATATATATTGAGAATCGTATCGTTAAAAAATGAGTTAAAGGCAAATAATGTATGTGTCTATATGTTGTTGACAGCCAAGATGGATGACCACCCTAAGCAAAATAACAAGTTTCTTTCATGGGAGATATATTTGCATGTGCATTTTGCATGTGAGGTTGGCTTGCAAGTTCTCACACTTGTCATGGTGTGATCTCACGAATCTCGAAGCACTTAATATTACAATGGTTTGGCTACTACTTGCATGTGATTGGTTAATGTGTTATTAACATTAATTAAAGTCTTTTTTCGAATGAAAAAAAATATATATACAAATGTGGAAATCGATTTTACAATCTACTAAAAGAAAATGTCAAAGTTGTAGATCTTTAAAAAACATCAAATATATTTTTTCAAATGTATATATACATATACTTATTTCGTCCATCTTTAAAGTTTACATATTTTCACAAATTACAATACCCTTGTTTTTATATTTATCTACAATCATATTATTTTATCTACACTCATATACTTATTTCGTTGTTGTCTGCTAAGCCGATTGTTGATTTTTCATGTTGCTATCGTTTTTGTTAGAAATTCGAAATGATTACAACTATATCATTGTGAATGTTGCATGTAGCTTTTTTATTTCTATTGGCATGTAATATAAAGACCCACTCTTGAATTGCTATTTGGATGATTGGATGCGTGAATGGTTTAATTTTGTACTTCTATTTTGTAGTATCATATGCCAAAAAGTGAGAGAATATTAAATAGAAAAATATCATATTACTTGTTTTGGCATGTGGTCAAACATTTCTCAATGTTGTTGTTGTAGGAACTAAATGCAGCAATGTTTACTCATCAGGTTGCTGCAAAAGTCATTTTGCAACTCTTTCTTTGTTTTGTCTCTTCTCGGTTGGTGGATGCACAAGACAATGGATGAGTTAGGGTAGTCAATTCCTCGTTAGAATTATGCATTAACACTTTGTGTTATTATGTGCAAAAGGAAATTAATGATGTTTGTTTTGTCATCCGAGAATAGTGTGTTTTGGTTGTTAGTAGGGTTTGAGTGATTTGTTTTTAGAGAGAAAGTTTGATTGATGATCTCAATATTTCCCCTTCTCTTATCCATATTCTAAATGAGTGTGTGTCACTTTAATACGCTGGAGAGTTCATCGGATGAAGGAGTTATTGGAGTTCCGATCAAAAGAGATGTCCAGATTCTGAGCAACCCCGTTTGTGGTAGTTGTCCGTACGAGCTTGTGACAACGTAAGCCTGTTGAGGAGTTTTCCAAGGTAAACCATTGTGGATGTATGGGTTAAAAGAGTTGTGCTTTGTCTATATTCTGTAATCAGCACTGATTATTAAAATTTTTCTTGGATTGGTATTCCCGAATGCAGGTTGATTTATAACTAAACCTGGTAACAAATTTTTGTCTCATTTACTGCTTTGAACTTCTGCATTCATATTGTTGGCAGTAGATTGTTATAACTATGATACAACCACGGTTCGAAAGTTGACAATTTTTAAGTATTTTGAAAGAATTTTGGTGAAACACCTATTTTCCAACATATATTATATGAAAATACATGTAATGTAAATACACTTTACCCTAACATATCTTGTGGTAGTTAGGGTGTTGATTAGGATTTTCCAACACTATATTGATTAAGTCCTAATTAGCACATAAATATATATATATATATATACATAGACAGTATATGAGTTATAAACTCATAGTACAAAATACATATAAAATATAATATAAATACATTATATGAACTTACAACATATAATAATAGTCTGCAATACATACAAAGATTGATCTCATCCAAAGATATATGTTAACATCACATAATAATTCATTACCAAAAAATCATTTTTTACATTAGTGGAAATTCGTAACAAAAAGACCAAATTTCGTGCAAAAGACATTTTTGTTATGCCTTTTTTAAGACATATGGGCGTAATATGTACTCACGCAACAATTAATTTTTGTTATCGTATTTTTCGTAACAAATAATTTTGGTCAACGCGTCTACCCGCGTGTGGGATATTTTGTTGTTACGGTATTTGTTATATCATTTAATCCATAAAAAAAAAATGAGTACACTACAAGAAATTTGTAACGAGGTTTTTTCGTTCGTAAGTTCACTTTTTCCGTTACTAATGATATTAGAGACGGAATTGGAGATGAAATTACGTTAGCTACGTGAACTTTAAGAACGGAATTCCGTTACAAATATACTATTTTTTTTGTAGTGAGTTCATGTAGAATTTATAAGATGTAAATTTTTCTTTAAATTTTTCAGTGCGGAACTTAAGTTTTTGCACCCCCAACAAGTATATATTGATTTTTAATTTATAATTATGCATTAAAAATTAATTGTTTATCTATTTATTAAAACTAATGAATGTTTATATGTATTTTGCTGGTAATTAGTGAATCCATTTGCCACAATAAATGACAATGATTTATTGGGTATATGTGCTAACAAAATAAATAAATAACCTATAAACAGTTGGAGATATAATAGTATGTGTTTAATTAATTGCCCATCAACCTATAGTGCATTGCAATTGAATTATTGATATTGCAATCATATTTTAATTATCAATAAATTTCAACATAGTGCAATTTAAAAATATATATTGTTCAAAATGCATTCAATTTATAATTTTTTTAATTTTAATTAAACTATTTATTTATCTTAATCTTAATTTATAATTATTTTTATTAAATAATAATTATTTTTACTAATACACTTCTTAATTATTTATTAATTATACTTTACCTAAATTCTCGTATCTACAATAATAGTCTCATATTTTTTGGGACGGAGGAAGTATTTTTTGTTTGTACTTAAGGCTCTGGTTATTTGAAGTTATATTTTATTTATTTTTTTATCATACTATGTATAAAAATATATTAATTCAATTCATTGAATGTTTCAAACTAAAATTTAAAACCAAACCTCAAGGAAACAAATTCATTGTGTTTAAGTAGTGATATGATGTGATATTTTGTAGAGAAGAATAATATTTTTTTTTATAAGAATTGTGTAAGTGGATAGTAAAAAGTTAAAAAAATAACATAGCGTATGTTCTTTTTTTTTTTTTTTTTAATTATTATTATTACTATTATTTGGTATGTTTTTGTTTTTATTATCTGTTTAGATAAAATTGTTGTTAATGTGATAAAAAGAAAATCATGAAAACTATCTGTTCATCCAAACAATATTTTTACTGATACAATTTTCAATATGCATAATATATATACTCCTTCCGTCCCATAACTATGTCTCCGTTTAATTTTTTTACGGAATTTTAGAAATAACTAAAATAATCTTATTAGTATCGTGTGATATAAAGGTAATGACATTTGTGTAATATATTGAAAGTTGTAAGGGTATTTGTAGTGTTAGGTAGATAGTACAGTTAGTATAAAAGGAAATTGATAGTTTTTTATGGGACGAGTATTTTATTTTCTCACAAAAAAATTAATATGGTCATACCTCACATAAAAAATTTAAAAAAAAAAAATTACATCAAACTAAAACACTAAATTAATACATTTGCTACATTTAAAGCTTTTAGCCCTAATAAATTTGTTTCTTTAATTTGTGGAAGAATGATGAAGGGAAATAACAAACACATCCATCCATGTGAAATATATCAACAATGTATTCATATATTGATACATATCAAGAATAACTTAATTTGAATAGTTAACTACTTGAATCTCAAATTTAATTTGATTATTTATTTATTTATTTATTTAGGAGCTTGGACTACATTGGCTGAATTTGGCTTTGTTTACGCACTACACTTTCACTCATTTGACACTATTTATTTTTAAAAAAACTTCACATCAAATACTCTTTTTTCTCTCACAAAACATCAAATCAAATAATAACTTTTTTTTTTTTTTCTAAACTTCCGAATTTCCAAAAATCTCCAAAAACCTTTTATCTAAACAAACCCACTACTCTACTCATACCTTTACTTTTAAATTCTAATAATAATAATAATAATAATATAATTTTAATTATATAAAAAAACTTAATTAAACTATATATATATATATATTGTGAAATTGTTGTAGGATTGTTCACCAAATGTAGGATTCTAATAAAATATTTTGCATTTTTTATTTGTATAAAACTCGCGTAAATTATGTCTTTATTTAGAACCAAACATGAGTTTTGGATAAGAATAATGTTTCATACAAACTTTGCATTACCACAAAAGAGTTTTACGCAATAAATAAAACATAAGATGTTTTGTGTATTTTAACTGAAACACAATAAAGTGTGTGATATAATTTACCCATTTTTATTTCATAATATTAATATATCTTTTAATTTCCCATTAGGGTTTGGCAAATTTGGTAGAGAAGTAATACATCTAGAGAAGGCCCTTTACTTAGGCTGATCTACAAATGCATTCAAATAAATGGAGTATTATTTTATATTATAGTGTTTTTTTATTGTTTTTTGAGTCCATAAAATATATATATATATTATACATTACTATTACTATGGGTATATTACATATATTTTTTCCATTCATCAAAATTTATTTTATTTTATTTTGTTGGTCCATTAAATTTATATAATTACTATGTTTGAAAAAGTTAAAAAAAAAATGATTATTTAACTATTATTTAGAACAAATATTATTAATTTTATTAATTTTTATTTTTATTTTCTTTAATTACTATCTAAATTTTTAAAAATACTTTAACTATCTTTTATTTTTTATTTTATTTTTTAAATCTCTGTGTCAAGTTCAAATATGTTATAGGGTGTGTTTGTTTGAAGGATTTTGGAGGATTTTCACTATTCATCCAATTTTTTCCCCCCAAAAACATCAAATCAAACACCTATTTTTCATTTTTTATATTATACTAAAAATCAATTTTACATTCAAAACATCACATCAAACTCTATTTATATCACCTCATACAACTATTCAAATTCAAAATTTTTACTATTCAAATCTCAATCCAAAATCCAAAACCCCAAACAAACACACCCTAAATATAAGAGGTCCAAGGAGTATTTTGTTATTGTTTAAATTATTTTAAGATAACAATTTTATAATATTAATGTGAAATTATGTCACTCATGAAATTGTTGCCTATATATTTAAAATTTTAAATGCTACATATCATTAGTATGAATTGGGCCTGAATTTCAATCAAATATTTTTACCCATATAAATGGTGCCTTTTCCTATAATTATAAATTACGGCCCATTTACAAGAAAGCCCAAGATTAACAGCTTGCCTTAACAGTGAATCTGAACCGTCCATTCTAATCCAACGGCGCTCCATCTCTCCCTACGGAATCATTGCATCTCCTTTTGGCGGGAAAATCAGCAGTGAACACCAGGCTCAAAGTTCGCTTCGATTCTCTATACCGTACTGCCAAAGACCGATAAAAATCCTCGTTTTCTTCCTCACTGGAAGCGTTAATCCATCTGGGATTTTGTTCTTGAATGGCGCCGAGGAAAAGGGCCACTTCGGGAGGCAAGAAATCGGGCCACCAAAACCGGGAAGCGCAGCAGCCATCCCAGCCGTCGAAATTCGGCATCCAGCACTTCTTCGAGCGCCATTCGCTTAGCCAGAAGGCCTGTTCTCAGAACGCCCCGAAGAAAGACGAACACCTTCCACGAAATCCCCTTCCCGGTTCCGCCAATGGCGCCAGTCAGAAGGCGGGGAATGAACTGGAAATTGGTGCAGTTAGGGTTGAGAATCCAGTGGCCGTTAATAGCTCCGAGAAGATTGCGTCGATGGGGAAGCATCTGAGGGGTCACAACTCAGTGAAAATTGGGGATTCGGAAAGTGGCGGAAGTTTGGTTGAGATGGAGAAATCTGACCAATCTCCCATTACAGTCAAGGAGAATCTCTTTCGCGTTGATGGCGATGAGGGGGATCGATTGGAGGTGTCACCAGAGGCATCCAAGTGCAATTCCGCTAAGCGCTACAAGTTTTCACCTGGAATGGTAATTTAGCATTTTTTTTGCAAAAAATAAAATATTAGATTGTATGATTCATTTTTTGTTTGATGATGGCGCTATGGAGCCTGAACTGGATCTGAATTAGGGATGGTTCTTGAATAGTTGGAAAAGTGGAAACTTTTTATTACAAGTAGATAATTTTTAACTGATTAGTTATGATTATTCATACTGAAGCTTGAGTTTGGTATTTGTATCAACTATAAGTAATAAATTAGGAATGATTTTGTTCTTGAGTTTTATCACCATTGCCTAATTTATGTGCAAGTGCCTACAATATGTTTAATTTATACCCAATTGTAGATTTAAGGGTAACTTTTGGTATAATTTGTTTAAATTGTAAGTTGATCAGAAACATGTGTTTGTTTGTGTTTTGAAATGTTTTGGATGTTTTGGGCGTTTTGGATTTGAAATGTTCTTATAGAAACGAATTAAGAATTGGATACAATGCTTTGAAAGTAAATAAGTAATGGATATGATGTTTTCAATGAAAAGTATGTATTAGAAATAATGTTTTAGGGTCGGAAATTATTCTATTATATATTGTGTAGTTTGAAAGCATGATCATAAATACAAACAAAACACACTCGATTCTCGATGTGGTGTTAGGATGAATTTTATTCCTAGATCATAGTTTTTCGATGCGAAAATTGTTTATGCATCCTAGTAGCTATTTTTCTAAATGTTGTAGTCGTAAAGTACTATTGAAAACTTATCAATATGAAATTCGCATTCTCTAATGCATTTCCAAGATTAAAGTCATTGATGCCAATGGCTTTTTCAATCCCTTTATCTTTTCAACAATCAGCAATGGGCTGTACGGATGCAGTTATATTAAGATAAAACATTTTATTGTGTTTGCATTTTCCTGTCGTCATTTTCATGCTATATGTTTTTTTCAATTTCATGTTGTCACTTATGTGATCGGCCTTTGGTTTATCTTGCCATAGTTAATCAAACAGACTCAGGATGATGGCGTTGATGAGGTGACATGGAAAATTTCTCCAGTAAACGAGAGGCTCAATGCAATGTCGAAACACTTGCCAGGGAGGATCAGGATATTGGCTGATTCTACAAGGTTTAACTCAATGAATCTTCAAAAATGTTCACAGGTCTGTGATTCTAGATTTTAGTTTTATGGTGCCCCCAACAATGTCTTATGTCTTAAAAATTGATATAATAGTTTCTCTTGGTAGGTGCAAACTTCTCCCATCATGTCAAGAAAGCTTGAAAGATGGCTTTCTTCACCTCCGCCGAAGACAGATAAAGAATTATTGATATGCTTTGACAAGGTTGCATCGAGAAAGTCCAATTCAGCGGATGATATACATTGTCATGAAAAAAGCAGACCTATAAATAATAACAATAAATCAGCAATACGAAGCACTCAGAGCCCATTTAGTACTCCACCATCACTGTCCTTTTGCCACAATAAGGTCATCTCATGTTAAAATTTACGCGTATGTGTTTATTTTGTCCAAGAACCTTGTGTTTGTTTGGTTTTTCTTTTTGATAGTTTTAGAAAATAATTGGGATGCAGGATCTTGATGATGTGGATTCCTGTGGGGTTCCCGATCAGCTCGGATCAAGGCAGCACAAGAAGGTTATTGCATTATTGGATCTTCCCTAGGCATTCGCCATCTTAACAAAATGATCAAACAAGAGTTTCCCATGTGTTTGTCTCATACATAGAAATAATATCATGATTATTGCATTGATTTATGCATTTAAGGTTATACATCACGGCTCAGGAGTATAAAATTAATGCAAGTGAATTTTTATCATTATACAGGCTTTAATTGAACTTCTTGACCAAGTGGAAGATGTAATTTCTGTAGAACCTTCATCGACTATAGAAAATGAGACATTTTTAGATGTTAAGAGGCCTCCGAAAGCTAATCATGCTCTAAATCACTCGACCAGCAATTCTGAAGAACATAAATGTGGTAGAGACTCTGAGTTTGACTTTCTAGTGCTGGAGGTGAGCCCCGTATCTGTTTCCTTGTAATTTTTTTTATGTGTTCTTCAAGGGAAGGTCTGTTTTGTGATAAAAGTATGCTTGTGCCATAGGTTTCAGAAAGGCACGAACCTGCTGCATCATCAGGTCGTCCATCGACTTTCAAGGTATGCAAAGTCTTTGAGTGATTGCCTATATATAATACGACTATTTTAATAATACTTTCTCCGGACTGCTGCATCACAGGTTTTGCACTTGTTAAATGAGCAAAGTGGTGCAGAACGAACCTTGCATTTGTCGGATGAATGGTAAGTAGGAAGAGTTTGTGCTTCCTCAATGAGTCTTTTTATGAATATCTGTTTTATGGTAACCTCGGGGTGGTGAACCCTATTACATTTGTTGATGATGAACCCGACTTCATAGAGTCTCTGTTCTACCTTCAAGGTGTTGTCACTCTGAACCCCTCTGTTATCTGACAAAGCTTCGTTGAAATCTAGGCCAGCCACATCAGTTCCTATTATTGGCATCCATGTTAATGCATCAAAAGTGTATGGGTTCTTAGGGTGTGTGTGTTTGGGGGTTTGGATTTTGGATTGGGATTTGAATAGTAAAAATTTTGAATGTGAATAGTTGTATTATATGATATAAATAGATGTTGATGTGGTGTTTTGAATGTAATAATATAAAAAATAAATGTGTGATTTGATGTTTTTGGGGAGAAAAAAATTTGGTGAATAGTAGATATTGATGGAAATCCTTCAAACAAACACACCCTAAACAAAATCATTTAGTTAGCAATTTTGTAAAATTTTTTAAGTCTTAAGTACCTTTATGAATTGGCATATCCATCTGCCTAGTACGCCTGTTGGCATCTAATAGCATATACATATGGAGTGCCGATTTCTGCAAAAACTTGCTTAGAGGATAAGTTGTAATTGCTAACATCCTATTTGTGCATTTTTGTTATCTTCTGTACCAGGTATTTTAGTGTTGCTGCCCCTGGAAATACGGTTCATGTCATTGGTGACTTTGATGCCCAAGGCAACTGTCATGTGAATCATGAGAAAAATTATTTGATTGTCCACCCAGAGCTTTTGGTGTCCGGTACTCGGGTATTTTCTATTGTGCATTACTTGTGTTTGAGCATTTTGCTTTTATTGTTTTCATAAAACCTTTGATATATGGGTTCTATTGCTTGGGTTTTCCTGAATGTTTTTGGACTCATGATGTACTAGGTTTCTGCCAGTTTTGGCTGTCCGAGGCGAACTGTCCTAGATGAAAGGTTAAAGCATAGTGAACATTCTGCCGCAGCACTGATGGGTACTTTATTGCATCAGATATTTCAGGTCCTTGGAAATTTCTGACCGTAATATTCATTTGTTTGCCTGGAGGTATGAGTTCAATATATCTTATAAATATATATTTTCTTCTCTAGGCTGCCCTCATCAGTGAATTTCCGACGAAAGAATTCCTAGAGGATTATTCCAGAACTGTGCTTCAGAAAAATCTGGAGAGCCTTTTTGCATGTGGAGGTGAGTTTTTTCAACTACTCCGCTATTTTATATTTCCATTTGTCTCATAAGATTCATTTTTATGTGGCCTTGAAATGAGACAATTTTAAATTTCTTGCAATTTCTAGTGCTTGGAGTTTGAATTGCTGCCATTATTGTTGATTGCTAATTTTCTCAAAGACACTAATTTCATTCCCTGGTGCTTTCAGTCAGTGACAATGATGCTTGGAAGATTTTGATTGAGGCCATCCCAAAGATACTCAACTGGATATCCTACTTTCGAGGTTCACAGGTAGATCAATATTGATGGTAGTGAACAACAATCAATTTTATACTCTTTTTGTCTATAAAGAGTGGGATCATTTTATTATTTTAGTTTATCTCGTTCCATATTTAGTAAAAAAGTTTAATCATTCTTTAAATTTCTACCTACTATTATCCAACCATTGCCACTGATGAAATACACATTTTCTTACATTCAACCCACTTAATTCCAAAAAATTATGTTACTAATCCTATAAAAGTTCTAATTTTATTCCTAAAAAAGGTGCAAAAAAGCAATATTAAAATACTATTTTCTTGATTTTCGTGCCTAGAAGTTTTTTAACAAACTTTTTTTTAACAAACTTAAGTATATTTTGTAACAGGATATCATATAGGCACCCGTCAGTTAATATATTTCAATACTAGCATTATAGATGGTAAAAAGATGTTGCCTGCCTTTATCTTAATATATTTTAATGTCATGTCTATGGACATTTTCAAGGCTAATTATTGTGCCCATTGGTGCAGCTGCTGATGCTGTCTATCTATGGGCACTCTTGTTATAGGTTTCCAATGTATATTGTCAGCAATCATGTGTTTTTGAAAATTGGCATGCTGTTTCTATCTATTTTGGACATAGCATCTGACATGAATCACTGTTCACTTTTTCAGGGTTCCAAAAATCCTAGCATTGATTTCAAATGTGAGGAAGGATTGAAAAGAATCCAAATTTCAGAGGTAAGACTTTACTTATCTACTTGTGCTTAAAGTTGCTAAGTTCTATTGATATTGCCTTTTTCATTTCAGATCTACTTTGTGTATTCCAATAAATTTCTAATTATCGTTATGAGCATTAACAGGGGTATAAATATAAATTAGTGCCTCAACAATATGCTTTGAGAAGTCTATTCAAAAAGCTTCTATAGCTCACCGTTTTTTTCTATATTATGCTTTAAATATTTGCAACACTTTCATATTTAGTCCTAAGGGAAAAGAGCACCTTTAGTCCCAAGTTGGGGCTATCTGTACAAAAATAGTCTTGTGTTATTTTTTGTGCAAAATTGGTCCCATTTCAAATGAATTAGTGCAAAATTCATTGCTCTCTTCCAATTTTAACCAACTTTTCTGATGTAGTTGTTATAGGAGTATACATGTTAATTCATCACTCCTATGTATAAGAAAATGTTCTCGCCTTAATATGGTGTCACTGTACCATGGATGATAATTTATGCCAAAACACAGCCATGTATTTTAGAAACATGACCATGCCTTTTAGATACACAGCCTTGTATTAAGTAGCATGATTATGTTTCTGAGATGCACAGCTATGCCTCTGAGATACTCTGTCGTGTATTAACTAATATGACATTATGACCTTGTTTTTTAGATACACAGCCATGTATTCACTAATATGGCTATGCCTTTTAGACACACGGGCGGGTTTGATGTCATGTGTGCTCCCATAATGGCCACATAGCAAAATCCGTTAAAATTTTGCACAAGAAAATAATGAGACTACTTCCGCACACACCACCCTAACTTGGGACTAAAAGTGCCTTTTTTTCTAGTCCTACTGATAGTATGTGTATGTTGTGTTATTTGTAGGCATGAACAAGTAATCTTTTTCATGTGAATTATTCACTTTGGTCCACGTTCTAGTAGACCATGCACTTAATTCACTCTTCTACTATAAATTTCTTAGTATTGTTAGAAGTTGATACAGATACTTGATATTTTACATGATCGATTGATTGTGCTCTTGAAAACTGAAGGTAATTGATATAGAAGAAATGGCTTGGGCCCCAAAGTATGGATTGAAAGGAATGATTGACGCATCGGTGAGAGTAAGAGCTAGCATAAACTCTGGAGAAGTTAGCGAGACAGTTATGCCTCTGGAGTTCAAGACTGGGAAAGGAACCGGACAGGCAATTGTTTTTTTTTTTTTTTTTCGGTCATCAAACATGGATTTTTAAAAAAGCAAGAAAGTGCACATATTTGTAATGATGATCCTGTAGATACGACTGTTTTTTTCATTTGTTTTCTCTCATTTGGTTGAAATAATCGTGCACCTCGTTCTTTTGTCATCCAGGTAGCCATGGAGCATAATGCACAGGTGATGTTATATACTCTCCTGATGTCCGAACGGTGTGTAATTCTGAAAAATGTTCTCATGCCTTCAAATTCTACTTATAGTTTCTGACGAAATCAAATTGTTTAACATTACCATTTTGTTCATGTATGCTTTGTCCTATTTCAGATATGGGATAGATATTAACAATGGCCTTCTATACTATCTTCTTACAGATCAAACACAAGTACAGTCACGACATCTGATCTTTTTATTGTCTCTTTTTGGGCTTCTTATTTTGTTTAATTTCAACATGAACATTTTTTGAAGGGAGTTTCGGCAAGACGTTCTGACTTAATTGGGCTTCTAATGCGTCGAAATGAACTTGCTGCTGATCTTCGCAAAGCCTCAACTACTCAGCAATTACCATCAATGTCACAAGTATTATACCTCTGAGAGCTGTTCCAATTCTAAATATTTGTACTGAATCAAATTTCTTACAAACAATTCATTTTATGCAGAGCTTGAGCATGTGCAAAAGTTGTCGCCACCTCAATGTCTGCACTATTTACCACAAGGTTGGTCATCTCCCTTTCATATCACTTCTGTATATCAATATTTCATTAGCTGAGTGTTTCATTAACCTTATCTAGTGTGGTGTGTGTTAGCAAACTGCAAAACCATTGAATGTATCAACTCAGTTTGGTGCAATCATGAGTCATATATCATGCTGAAATTTAGGTTACTCCATAGAACCTGCAAATGGCATTTCCTTTCTAATATTTGATTTGCATTGATCTTATTTCTTCACGTTAAATGGCAGCACATAATATAGGTATGTAGTGAAATAAAAATTGTTGCAACCCTACACAATTACTACTCTTCACAGTAACAAAAAGGCTGTTGAAGAAATTGTTACTAAAACTTTGGACTGTATCAAGAATTATGCATAGCAGCATATAACAAAGTGGACTAATAACTCGAGGCAAAGGGCTAACCATACCAGACTCTTCTGTTGTGTTCTTTTGTGGATTTTATCATATATTTTTACTATTCAAATTCTTTTTCCCTTCAAAAATATCAAATTAAACAATTATTTTTCTTTTTTTCATATTATACTATAAAGTATAAACATATTTTACATTCAAATCATCACATCAACGTCTATTTATATCACATCAAACAACTATTCAAATTCAATTTTTTACTATTAAAAAATCCAAACCCACAAACAAACACACCAGAATCTAGTTTGGTTATTGAACAATACGAATTAGGAGGACCTATGTCTGCAATTTGAAGTTGAGGTTTTCTTGCATAATATTGCTTGGAAGTATAAGTATAGCTGGAAATCTGTCGGCTCAATTAACCCAAGCTGAACATCATCTTGTAGCAGACAGATTATGTTAATCCCACTGTACTTACATTTCTTGCATAATATTGCTTGGAAATTTTCTTGCAAAATCTCTTAGCTATCTTCCATGCTGTGTTTTCTACAAGAGAGTAAAGTTGTTGTAATTGCGTATATTCTGCCAAACTATCTTCTGATCTCTCGTGTATGTTTCCCTTGTCTCATATTTTTTCTAAGGCTTATGGCGGAAGTGTGGAAGAAAGTGGGCTGGGTGATGTATACGCTTCCCTTGTCTCTCATTTAACAACAACTCACACTGATTTTCTTCGAACATGGGAGAGATTGGTTGATTTGGAAGCCATGCACGTGGAGGTAGGGCAAACTGAGTTGCTTGCTATTATATAAAGTCTTTGTAATCAACAAAGTTATTTACAATATCAGCATTTAGGTTGTAAGCAAAGACAACAGGTCAGAAAATTTGAGGAATGATCAGCATCCTGTTTGCGCACCATCTCTTGTTCTTGATCCTTCAGAAAAGTCGCCACAGAAAAAATTTAGCAGAGCCAACCGATTTTCCTACCGTTTTGTGCGTCAAGACTTACCTTTGCTTAACACAGAAGAAACAAATGTAGACTATTTAAGCTCATCATCTTCCTTAGAATATTATTTCAAGATTGGGGACTATGTGGTAAGTATTTTCATTTTTATCGGTTTAATAGTTTTCTCTCGTACAGATTTCATATTTATACCCATTATCAAGATAATATTACATCAGCAGATTGACAAGTGTAGTTGTTGCTTTTGGATTTTACGAACTAATAACATTTGCATATGCCTGATCTTTTTCAATTACCCAGAAAACTGTAATGCTTTTATTTCAGCTTCATTATCGAACTCTTTGGTTTTTGGCTTTTTGCTTTCAGCTGTATTTACGTGCATTAGCAGATTGTCTCCTTGTGCACCTTTTTCGTGATTCTTTAGATTATGTTAAGGTAGCATTTTAGGGTTGTATTTGTTTATGATATAGTAAGTTTATTCGAGCTTCAAAATTCATTTCTACAGATATTAAGCACTGAACATGGATCTCTACGTGTTGCTAATGGGGTCATTGTTGACATTGGTAACTCTCATGTCTCTGTAAGTACTTAATATAGTGCTCAAATGTTACCCTGGGATACTAAGTTACGACTGTATCCTGTTATTTAAGCAGAAATTACACGAAAATGTTATAATTTCATCAATATTAGGAATACTAGTGTCCATTATAAAGTTCATTATCATCGAATAGAAAAATGGTTCTTATCTAATACTTCTAATCTCTTAGGTATCTTTTTCAAAACATTTGAGACTTCCTAGGCAGAACCTTCAGTCATTGGTAGGAGATCTTCATCAACAATCTTGGCGAATTGAAAAAGATGAATTCACAACATCATATGCAATCATGAGGTCAACGAACCAACCTTCACATTCTACCTTGTGATTTTTTCCTTTAAAAACTAAATATATAAATAAAATTGCAACCTACATTTACATCTTTATCAGGTACAATCTTGTTCAACTATTTTTGCCAAATGAATATTGTTCTCGCCTGAGGAAGATGGTTGTTGATCTTGAGGTAATTTTTCAACTTTCAAATGTACCTTTTACATCCGGTATTCTTAAAAGCAAATCAGTCATGTTTTCCTACACTTGTTCTTTCGTTGAAGGCACCTGTATTTGACCATGGCTGTGTATTTAGCCAAGACCCTGCTATATCATACATTCGATCTGAAAAGAGCTTAAACGATGATCAAAGAAAAGCTATACTCAAGGTAATTAACTCGTGATTCTTAATGTCAATTCTCTCTATTCATTCTTTAACTGAATATATAGATATTCTTTAATTCCTTCTCAGATCCTGAAGTTGTGTTATGAAGAAACATTTGGAAATTAATATTTTGACTCTCCAATTTTTGATACTTGCATTGCCTTATTATTTCAGATTCTTGCAGCCAAGGATTATGCCCTTATTCTCGGCATGCCTGGAACGGGGAAAACTTCCACTTTGGTGCATGCTGTTAAGGCATTGTTGATTAGGGGATCATCCATTCTACTTACATCATACACAAACTCGGCTGTTGACAATTTACTAATCAAATTGAAAGCTCAGGTCACGTTTCATCTTTACTGCTTCTTTTACGATAAATAGATCAAAAGCCTTGTCATTCTAGTTATGAATTCCAACCAATTTCTAATTTCCGATTCATGACAACCTATACATTTGTTCTTGCTGAATAAAGACACTTTTGTAATCTCGTGTGGAATTCCATGTCTCAAATGCTAGCCTTCAGTGTTTTCTGAATAGTATTATCGCTACTAATTTAGATTTTATGCATATGAGTATGGATAAAATATAAAATAGACAGAGTACGGTTGCGTGAATAGCTTGAGCAAAGTCCATTCGTTATTGTTTGTGTAAATGTTCTTGCATATTTAATTTAGATGCTTATTAATGATTTAATGTATGTATGTTGTTATTAGCCGTAGCATTATCGATGAAATCTGTTTCAGCAACCAATTATTACAATGTACAACTATGAATACTGTTATTTAAATGTCTTTCTATTCAGTCATTAGATCTGATTTCTGTGACTAATTATGAAACTCTTTTAAGGAATCAAAGATTACACAGAATCATGACAATGTAATTGTTCTCCAACGATGATTTTGATAGTGATGACAGGATAGTCGAATGCTTGACAATGCTTGCATGATACAAAATTAGGATCTCAGAATGTCCGAGATGTGGCCATGGCTGCTGTCTATTATTCTATTAATCTACTTTTTACAACTTCCACAGGGTATAGATTTCATAAGAATTGGTAGAGAGGAGATAGTGATGACAGGATAGTCGAATGCTTGACGCATGATACAAAATTAGGATCTCAGAACGTCCGAGATGTGGCCATGGCTGCTGTCTATTATTCTATTAATCTACTTTTTACAATTTCCACAGGGTATAGATTTCATAAGAATTGGTAGAGAGGAAGCTGTGCATGAGGATATTCGAGAAAATTGCTCATCAGGTTCGACTACTTCATTCATAACAGTGATTGGCTCACCTCCGATTTCAATTGTTAATCAAATTACTGTCATTGTAGCAATGGATGTAAAGACCACTCGAGAAATTAAAGAAAGGCTCGATAAAGTCAGCGTTGTTGCTGTTACGTGCTTGGGAGTGAATAGTCCTCTGCTCAATAACAAAAGATTCGACATATGCATCATGGATGAAGCCGGACAGATTACACTACCGGTATAGTTTAAATTGTTTTTAAAATTTACAATGTGTGTTTGAATCCATATCTTCCCTGGGTAAACTGATTTTTTTAGTCCCGTAACTAAACTTTTTTATCGTAATTCGAGTCTGTCGTAAACTAGTCCTGTAAGTGAAAAAATTTCGCAATTTTAATCCTCCAGCACCGTAGATGTCTATGTGGCACCCATGGGGTTCGTCGGAGGACACGTGTCCGTCAAGTCAGCGACACTTGATCGACACGTGGATTTTTTTTTTTCAATTTTGTTAAAAAATTTTAATTTTCGAATTCTTTTTGAAAATTTTTAATTATTTAAAAAGAAGACAATAAATAAATTAAATTTTACAAAATAAATTAAAAAATATCCACGTGTCCGCCGTTGTTGCTGATTTGGCGAACACGTGTCCTCTGGCAAGCCACGCGCATGCCATGTAGGCATTTCCAGCGCAGGAAGGATTAAAAGTGGGAAAATTTCTCACTCACGGGACTAATTTACTACAGACTTCAATTACAGAATTAAAAAAAAAAAAGAAAAAAGATCAGTTTACCCATAAGATTAACATTTTTCTCTAATGCTTTCCATGAGCTCTAAATTGGTCAATAATATCTAACTCTATTCGAATGTTCTTGATCGCGTAATTTGCCGCAACCTCAGCATATTACAAGTGTTCGAGATACCTTCTTTTCATTTAAAACAATATCTTACCATTTTTTCTCAGGTAACCTTAGGACCATTGGCATTTGCATCAAAATTTGTTCTCGTCGGCGATCATTATCAATTACCACCACTTGTCCAGGTGCATTTCTTTATAAATTCTTGTGTTTGTTTTTTGGCAATGATCCTCTCGATTAAAAGGTTGAATTCCCCAATATGCTAGAGCCCCGAAGCTAAGGAGAACGGAATGGGCATTAGCCTATTTTGCCGGCTATCAGAAGCACATCCTCAGTCAGTTGCAGCATTACATTGCCAGGTACCCTCCCAAGTAACTCATTTTAACAAATGAAAATTTTCTCCGAGTGCATCTAACATTAGAACACATTATTTTTCGATGATATGCAGTACCGAATGTGTGCAGCAATTATGGAACTGTCAAACGCCTTGATATATGATAACAGATTGCGCTGTGGCTCTGCCGAAGTGGAGAATGCAAAATTGAGTTACCAACGATCATTTTCTGTCGAATCCTCGTGGATAATTCAGGTCTCGCGGAAATTTTAAAATTTTCCGTTGTAGTTATTTATTGTATGATGTTACTTTTTCAAGTTACATTTCATTTTTTCGACAGGTTTTGAATCCCGACCAGCCTGTGGTCTTTATCAACACAGGTTCGTCTAGCAGTCTCATCTTTGAAACATATGTCGCGAATTTACATTTCCATTTGAATGATATAATTATTTTCTTGGAACTCAGATTTGTTGCCGGCATTCGAGACCAATGATGGTAAAGCGTTAAACAATCCTACCGAAGCATATATCGTTGCAGAGGTAACAAAACTTGCGTCGATTCAAAGATTAGTACATATTTGGATATATATATATATATCGGGTGTGTTTACTTTGCCTGATTATGATGAATAATATTATCTTATCCAATCTAATCATGTATTTACTATGCATTACTGGAACCTGAGATTAAGTAAATTCGATATAATAATACTATAATCAAGACAATTAATCCTTTATAAGTGGTATTAAATAATATTCAAATATAATTAATGTAAAGACAATTTTATCTATCATTAATACCTAATTTACTACAAAGTAAATGCACCCATAATATATATATATATATGTGTGCATTCTCGTCGCCTTCTATTCTCATCGTTTTTGGTAGGTTGTGAAAGCTTTGCTGCACAGAGGTATTGAAGGGAAAAACATCGGCATCATAACACCGTACAACTCTCAGGCGAATCTCATTCGCGGAGCACTCTCCGAGCCTGTGGAAGTTCATACCATTGACAAATATCAGGTTACATACATATGTATATATATATAACTTTCAGCAGCTATAATCGAATTGGATCAGACATTTTAATCCATCGATTCTGTTAGGTAACAAACTTTCATTCATTTGGCACTATTCATTTTTAAAAAAACATCACATTAAATATACTTTTTCTCATACAAAAATATCAAATCAAATTCTCCCTCGATCCGGTTTTAAAGGTCTCATTTACTTTTTGATCATTGTACTTAACATTAAAAATATCTTTATATCTGTATAATTTTTTTCACAAATGTCATTATAATAATATTATAAGACGCTAGTAGAAGTATTTTTGCCCTTGTCCTTTATTTGTTCTATATTTTTATATAATAATTAATATTCAAAGATCAACACGCAAAAAGTAAATGGGACGTGTTTTACTTTTTCTAGACTTCCGAAATTCCAAAAACCCCTATCTAAACAGTGTTTACATTTTTCATCGTGCATTTTACATTGCGTGACATAACTAACATATGCGATTGCGATTGACAAACAGGGAAGAGATAAAGATTGTATAGTGCTGTCTTTCGTTAGGTCCCGCGAAAATCCGAGGAGCAGCGCATCGTACTCATCCTCGTTGCTGGGAGACTGGCATCGAATAAACGTCGCGCTCACCCGTGCCAAGGTTTGTTTACTTTACTAGCTAGTACTCCCTCCGTCCCAGCCAAATTGTCCCATTTAGCTTAGATACGGAGTTTTAGGTAGTATGTAATTAGTAAGTAATTAAAAAGTAGTAAAAATAATTATAGATTAAGATTTAAGATGACTAAATAGTTTAATTAAAATTTAAAAAAAATAAATTATGAATTTTAAAATGTGATTAAAGTGTATAGTTATATTGTCAAAAAAGGAAAGTACAGGACAGACGATTATAGAAATATGAGACAAATTAAATGGGATAGAAGGAGTACTGTCTATACTTGAATTATAAATTCGGATCGGGCATTTATCGAATGTTTTCATTTTTTTGTTGTGTTGGTTGTGTCTGAAACAGCGGAAGCTGATAATGGTGGGATGTTGTGGGACTTCGTCGAAGGTGCCATTATTGAAGCTTCTGATAAATAAAGTCGAACAGCTTTCAGGCATGTTTGCTCTGTCAGTTAAGGACATTCCTATTTCTGTTCCTGTTCCTGTTCCTGATTCTGCCATTAATACATTTCAAGTTCACCTCAAGAGATGTTCTAACTCTACTTGATACAAGATGATGATGATGATCATTTTCAATTTTGTAACTCTGTAAATCTGTCTTGTTATTCACCAAATATCTTGTAATGAAGATGCTCCACATTTTTCTTAACCTTTTGTGTATTTATTTTTTCAAAATTTTTGTTACTCTATTTATTGAAATTTTACTTTTTAAAAGAATGTTTATGCCGAAAATTTTTATTTTATTTGAAGCATTACGTCAAAAATTTATTATTGGTGTTGGCTAAAATCAGTATATAAAAATAATATATATATATATATTGAGAATATATAATATTATAATCTATTATGATTAATTTCATTTCCGTACAAGTATTATAGTAACCAACACAATATAACTTCCTTACATTATGTCAATCATTTACTCCATTGTCTCAAAAATAATTATAGATTATTATTATTATTAAAATTACTAAATAATTTAATTTAATTAAAATAAAAAATATATAAATTATAAATTTAAAATGTGATTAAAATGTATAATTATATTTAAATAATAAATTATGTTGGATAAAATAGAAAAAATAAACTGTAGCACAGAGAATGTATGTTTTATGAAAATTTAATAATAATTATTATTATTATTATTATTATTATTTGATATAATATTTTTAAAATTAATTGTTAACATTAATTTTTATTTTTATTTTTTAATCTGTTAAGTTTTAACTTATTATTAATTTCAATAAATTATTGTTAAACTTATAATTGTCAAATTTTCAACTTCTATTTCCTATAATTATCGTTATTCTATACCCTATCTCTTTATTATCATAATTAATTAATAATTAAATTTTCAAAAACATTCTCAATAACTTTTGTACCTTTCTATTTTTAATAAAATACTTATTTTTTTTAATTTTTGTGTCGGACTAAATAGACTAATTTTATTGAAAAAAGTATAATTTTGTTCACCCAACCAAATTATTTAGCATAACTCCCGATAAATATTACTCCGTGCCTTCACTAAATTTATTTTATTACTTGACAAAGTCTAACAAATTATCATTTAATTATTATCAACAAATATCATCTATCTATTATTTTTTTTAATAAAATATTTATTTTTTTAAATTCCGTGTTGAGACAATAAGTTAATTTTATTGGACGAATAGAGTAATATAAATAAAATATACACTCTATTCTCTAACAAAAACATAAAAATTTAAACATAAAATAATAATAATAATAATAATAATAATAAAAATAATAATAATAATAATAAATCTAAAACTAAAACAATATTCAAACCCATATTTAAATAGAAGTCTATTTTCTACAATAATTTTTACTTTATTCAAATTTTCATAACATTTCTAACCACATCCCAAACCTAGAGGTTGACAATTAATTGGTAACAAATTCTTGAACCTAAAAGAGGTACCTTATTTACAGCACCAAATACCAAAGCCTTTCCAACAAAACAAAATCAAGAGATTAAAACACCTAAATATCACCATTTTCAATTTCAATTTCAATTTTTTCTTTCTTTTTTTTTTTTTAAATAAACCTAAAATCAGAATTCAATTCTATGTAGAATATAGAATGATACCCATATCTTTCCATGTATGCTGTGTTGTGTGACCATAATAGAGTCGGAAACTCGTCGATATCGACGTCAGTCAATGCCCAAGCTCGAATACGGCTCGAATCCACCCTGAAATTGTGTCGATTGGTTGTGAGAATACAACAAATTATATTCAGCGATTACGAAATCCCAATAAGAGAAGTACTTACAGCACAATCATCGTGCACGCGCCATATAGTTTCGCCAAGAAGGTTCGCCATGGACAAGATCGTGAGCTGCGGGAAGTAATTCTTCTCCGCCACCGGAATGGTGTTTGTTATGATGACCTCTTGAAATAGCCCGCTCGACAATCTCTCTATCGCCGGAGGACTGCAGTCGTAAAGTTACATCAAAACCTTTCAAATATTTGAATGCGCAGTCATAAAATGCGCGCCGGCAGTAATGTTGATGCGGATCCAATACGAATAAGAGAAATTTCAGAACATTAAGGTTTGTTCTTTTACCCTTTCAAATCTAAATCTAACACTCTTCACCATAAATGGTTTTCAATAAAAATACACGTTCTTCTCACAAAATAAAACATCAAAGTACTATCTAAACAAAAAATTCAAATCAATACCTTATTTCAAAGCAATTTTAAACCTCAACCAAACAAACCATTAATTAGGCTAAGAATTGGCGGGTGTCCGTGCATAACAATAAGCAGAAATATTAGGGACTAAGAGTGAAACAAAATGTTAGGGACCGAGAGTAAAACAAATAATAATAGCATCAGGTTTGCAACACACGTACCTTATTTTAGATAGATATTTTGGTTAATACTATTAAAAAACAAAATTGCTATAACTCACTTGTTTGAAAAGTCTCTTATCATTTTTAAAAACTGCATGAGACTCCTTCGCATTTTAAAAATTATTGTACAAAATCTCCTGAAAATTGCATGAAACTCTCTCGTGCTTTAAAAACTATTATACAAAATCCTCTAAAAATTGTATGAAACTCTTGTATTTTCAAAAATATTGCACATAATCCCCTAAAAAGAGAATTTTGTGCAGTGGCTTTTAGAAGATGAGGAAATCTCGTACAATTTTTAAATTATGATAGAGAATGAGACAAGCTTTCCAAAGCACATGTGGGTTATAAGTACTTTTGCCTTATTTAAATTTGATATTTATTATCAATGTATATTTGCTATATTAAATTGTTATTATTTGAATTTATCCATTTTGTGTCAGGTTATAATAAGCCCCGTTTAATTATTAATAAGCAACTCTGAAATTCTGCAAAATGTAACGTACCTAAACACGGCATGAGTGCTGCAAGCATATACCTCCCTTGCACCTTCTTGATGTAACAGAGCAGCTCCTTTCGAAATAGTCCCTGTAAAAGCATATGTACAGACTACAGTAAACAAGACTGGATGATGAACAATCTAACACAGAATTAACCAAGACTCTAAATACTCTTTACAAGCAGAAATATCAGGAGACAATTTTAAACAGAAATTATCTAATTTAATTTAACTGGTAAAAATAAATCTGAGGGGGGGGGGGGGTGCTTTTACAATCCAATGCAAGAACCAAACTACTCCCTCAATCAAACTTTTGGGCACAAGTGGGTGAACACTTTTTTGTTTTTTCTCTTTTTATAGTAAAAAAAATACAAAAAATATTATTATGATCTTTTACCAAAAAGAAAAAGAAGATATATTTAGATGACAATCCAAACAAAAAATGAACATAAATTTAAATGATAGATAAAGTATTAATGTATTACTATTGCAGGCTTACGGAACAAGATGGCTTTAACCATTGAATGAAGAACTTTTGGCCAAATATTGTATCAGCAAAAAATTAGAAATAATTGATGTCGCGCACAGTGTGAAAGTTGAGTAATTTATAAAAAGAACAAACCAGCAGTATCGATCATATCATCTACCATTACTGCAACCTTGCCACGGACATCACCGATCAAATTCATTACCTGCAGAATACAATTGAATGAATAATCAATAAGATAATGGTGAACTGTACGACAAGAAATGAGTTTGACCACCAGCTATTAGTTTACTTTTTAGAACATTTGATAAACTTTTCGTGAATTATACCAACCAAATTTACAACGTCACGAGTCTCTAAACTTTCAAGTCATTACAAAAGAGGATATATATATATATATTCAAGAAGTAATAGAAGTTTTCATAATTTCACAACAGAATGGAAAGAATAATTACCTCAGCAACATTATGACCCTGACGTCTTTTATCTACAATGGCCAAAGGAGCATCCGACAACTTTTTGGCAAAAGCTCTAGCTCTAGCAACCCCACCAACATCCGGTGAGACCACAACCAAATCATCCGAAGATATTGTCTTGCTTGCAAGATAATCAAGTATGACAGGCTACAACAGGAAAAATAGTAACATGCCAACGAGTTAAACATAATTTAACCTGCAGTGAAAAAATGCAGTGTCCTATATCGAAAATAAGATACAGCACGGCTCATAGATAGAAAAGCACTTGCCGCACATTCTTTACCTGACCATGTACATGATCCACCGGAATATCAAAATATCCAATCGACTGTCCAGAATGGAGGTCGCACGCCAGAACCCTGTCCGCACCAGCTTCAGTAATTAAATTGGCCACAAGCTTTGCAGCAATTGATTCACGCCCTTGAGTCTGAATTACATTAAAAATGTAATATTAAATATTAAAAGCCAAAAAGTACAAATAAAAAAACACACTAATTACACTTTAAAAATTCGAAGCATGTCACTAGTTCAATCCATTAGATAGTATGAAACTTTTTATGAACCTCTTTTCGAAAATGTCAACACATCAATCTTACCTTCCGATCTGCACGAGCATATCCAAAGTATGGGATAACGGTAGTGATATTTTTGGCTGATGCACGGCGGCAAGCGTCAATCATTATCAACAGTTCCATAAGATTTTCATTTGCGGGAGGACACGTAGGTTGCACAAGATAAACGTCACACCCACGAACACTCTCTTGCAATTGAACATAAATCTCCCCATCAGCAAATCGTTTGATCTTAATATTACCAAGCTCCAGACCCATATAACAAGCAATTTCCTGCATCAAGAATTTTTCGGAAAATAACAAATCAATGAGATTATGGAATAGTTAAGACGTATAACACAATGGACAAAGAAGCTTACAAACCATGTCATTACACATACTTTTATACATTTATAATTTGATAATTATATATATGAACATAAAAAATTGCAAACTTTTATACACACCAAAACTCAAGTTGAAAATACGGAGGTGATATCTTGATATGAGAAATTCACTTTTATTGAAAATTTTTGAAATTTATTATAATCCATTTGTCCCATAAAAACATATCTATTTGCTTTTTCAACATAAGTTTTTCTAGTAGTGTGTATTAGTTATGTGATATTAGTTAAATAAAGGTAATATCATTTGTATAATATTCCGTAAATTGTGAAGATATTTTTAGTGTTAGAGAATAGTACAGTTTTATTTAAAACTGATCAAAATAGAAAAATCAATACTTTTTTATGGGGCAGGGGGAGTATAAAAATCTAAAGTGTATTATTTTTATTTTTTCAATATTAAATCTTATCCAACATTTTTAGGGTGTGTTTGTTTGGGGGATTGGATTGGATTTACACTATTCATCCAATTTTTTTCCCCAAAAAATATCAAATCAAAAACATATTTTTAAGTTTTTATATTATACTAAAAATCAATTTTACATTTAAAACATCACATCGACACCTATTTATATCACAGCATACAACTATTCAAATTCAAAATTTTTACTATTCAAATCCCAACTCAAAATCCAACCCCCAAACAAAAACAATTTTTTTTGGTAATTTAATATTTTAACATGATAAATGAAAATTATCCCAAAAATAATATGCAGTTAATATAAACAAGAAAAACATCATTTTGAATTTTCAACAAATTTCATCATCATCCTAAACTTATTAAAGTGAATCCTTCAAAAAACTTGTGAATGTGTGTTTAGTTTCTATTTGAAACCAAAATCACCACTGTTTAGTACACTATTTAAACCAAAATTAAAATTCATACTCCGATTTCAATCCAAAACCAAAAAATTCCTAAAATCAATACAGAAATTTAAAATCCAATCGATTTAAGGGAAATGCTTTGATACCTGAGCCAGAGGTATATTTGCAGTGCCAGAGAAAATACGCAGCCTCGTGTCGCTTTTTTGAGCAGGAATTCTTTCGAGGAAGACGTCGGGCAACGCTGCTTGGCCGTTGTAGTCGCGGCCAACAGCTGTCGATTTCCCATTGTCTTTGTACTTCAACGACTCCGACAACTTACTACATCTCTGCATGAACAACAACGGAGGACGAGAAGCTCAAACGCTACGATCACACTAACACATAGCCTCAAATTCATTCAAAATCGAACTATTTTTTAGTATGAAAAACAAAATTAAAAAATAGAAATCTCACCATAAACGATCACAAATACATTACCGCAAATTCATTCAGAATTGAACATTATATATACATATATATATATATATATAAATGTAAGCAGGAATCTCACAATAGCTGCTGGAACTTTGGCGACGGAATGAGGACTTTTACGGAGATGCAACAAGCCGATCCCGGACAAGGCCAGCGACGCCATTTCCGCCGCTACTGCTCCGTGGATTTGATCGATTTGGTACCGGAAACAGAAGAATTAGGGTTTAGGGTTCTGAAGCAACTCCAACAAGATTTTAAGATATTTTATTTTATTTATAAATTTTAATCAATTATATTTTTATTTTATAATAATATTTGGGATGTGGACCCCACACGTTCCAAATGTAGACTTTTCGTAATTTAGGGATTTTTACATATAGTAACATATTTAAATTAATTTTTTAAACAATTTGCATTTTAAACGCTTTTGAATTGTTTTAGAAAAAGTTGTTCAAAGGGACGACCATGGGAGAGCTTCACCCTCACCATTTGTTTTTTTAATATTATATCCAATATTTATATATATAATATCATATTACATATTAATTTTAAAAATATAAAAATTTCTGTTTAAATAAAACAAATTAATTATTATTTGAGTTAAATTATCGATTTTAGAATTTTAAAATTTGATTTAGTTTAAGACTTGAATTTAATGATTAAAAAAAAAAAACTCTCTTAAATATGTTATTTAAAATTTTTTTAAAGTAATAATTTTAAAAATTAATATCATGTACATTTTATCTATAAATTTGTTGTTAGGTCATTTCAAATTTAAAATTAAAAATATCAAATCAAAATACTATTCAAACATAAATATAAATTAACAATTTATTTTAAATCAATTTCAAACCGTGACCCTACCGGTCAATACAGGTCTTTTCAGACGCTTCTATCTTCACTTGCACGTACCTAGGAGACTTCCATGAGTTACGGAAAAAAAATGTATGTTAACATAATTAATTTATTAAATATATTTAACATATATTAAACTTCGGATAATCTGACACCAGCTCATCTCTAAAAGTTGGTCTAACACCGGCCCAACTCCAAATGTAGTGTATATATACGCATGTATGTTGCATATGCGTATGTCCTTGTGTGTATGTCTATTTGTGTGTTTATGTATGTTTGTATCTGTATCCATGTTTGTGTATCTATATATATATATATATGTGTATGTCTATATGTCTTTGTGTATCTTTGTATGTGTCTATGTGTATACATTTTTGTATATGTTTGTATGTCTGTCTATATGTCTTTGTGTGTGCCTGTATGTATGTTTGTGTGTGTATACGTGTGTGTTTGTATGTGTTTGCACCTTTTGTATGTGTATATGTCAACACCTTTAAGGGGTACAACAAATAAAATACTCCCTCCGTCCCATAACAAAATATCTATTTTTTCATTTTAGTCCGTCCCATAATAAACTATCAATTTTTTTTAGTAACTGTACTATCTACCTAATATTACAAATACCCTTACAACTTACAACGTCATTACCTTTGTATCACACATACTAATAAGGTTATTTTAGTCATTTCTACTTTATTCCTACTATATTCCAATATAATACTAATATTTCTAAAACTACGTGCAAAAAAACAAATGAATATTTAGTTCCGGGATGAAGAAAATACGTAAACCAATGAAAATCAAAGACAGTATGTGGGACAGAGGAAGTATACTATATAATGACAATTTAATTTACCTATAAATTACACCTCAAATGACCATCCATTGGCAATTGGCATGTCACATGTAAAATATACACAATAAATTCAACCAAAAAAAAAAAAAAAGGTCAAGTCCTACAACAAAAACCATTTGAATCATTCTTGCCATAACAAAAAGAAAGCCAAAATTTTCTTCAGCTCGATTCGAGCTCACTTATTGAATTTCTCCATTAATGGAGAACACATTAGAACGAGCCTTCGACGCCTCAAACTATTCATTAAAAAAAAAAAAAATTTAAAAAAAGATCGGAGAACCCGATTAAACTTATTGCCAAAACAACTCCACAAACAAAGCCCATAAACAAACATTACTTACCTCGTAGGCGAAGATCCTCAATAGTTTTCGATGTAAGAAGGAGCTGGCAAGAACGGGAACGGCGCAACGGAGGCATATGCCACAGGTGGGCGTTGCCGGTTGTGGGAAGGCCGTCTCTTTTCCTGAGGTTGTGTCTGGTCGACTGGTTTTGTCTCCTCCGAGGATAATGAAAGATCGATTACCCGATTTGAGTTATGTCCGGTTAGGGTAAGCTCGTTGTCAGAAATACGGTGGAGCAGAAGCCCGCCCATGAAGACAGGTAGATAAAGAAGGCTGGCATGGAACATTCTCCGAGCATGTTCCGTTGTACGGTTGCGATAAAATGATCCTGCGGTTAAGGTGATTGCAAGAGCGAGGAGCGTCGACTCTGCGCAGAACCATCCGGAAGTGATACCCCCTGAAGAAATATAAATATGTATGTGTGTAATGATTGAGGTAATTAATGATAAACCCGACAAGAAATGAGTGATTCGAGTAGGAGAAACTCACAATCGTATGCTAGATAGCCTAATGGAAGCAGATAAAGACAGTTTCTTAAAGCGACCAATGCTGTTCTTCTACCGGTGGTATCCGTAAGAGAAAACATCTTGAACCTAAAATCGAAAAGAGGAGGTTAGTGAAATGTAGTTTGTGAAATTTTATTAGATGGAAAATTGATCACAAATAAAATGGAGCATTCTAGTAGTAAAATGGAGTGCGAAATCATTTACATAATATGGAGTGGGGAACTCTTCTTCTTTTTCAATTAAAATGAACTATGCAATCATATGGGTGTCAACGGGACCGGTTCTGGACAGGTTCTGCAAGCCCCAGACCCGCCCCACTAAACAATATTAGGCCTCAAGACCCGCCTCGCCCCGAACACTCTAGGTTCGGGGCCAACCCGAAAAATCCGTTTTTTTTTTTTCAAAAAAATATAATTTATTCTAATAATTTAATATTAAAAGGCAAGTGTTAAAAAAAATTAGTTCAAAAAACAACAACAATCAAATATTGATGATGGCGGTCGACAATAGGTGACGCAAACTTTTAGTTCCAAAAACAAAAACAATGGCCGCCGAAATTAGGTGACGCAAACTTTTAGTTCCAAAAACAAAAACAATGGCGGCCAACAACAGGTGACGCAAACTTTTAGTTCCAAAAACAAAACAATCAAATGTTGGCCGTGGACCACAGTAATGGCAGGCGATGCGACGGAATTAGTCTCGATTGTAAAGAAAATTGAGGAGGAAACAAACACGAATACATATTTGATTTAGAAATTTAAACTCTCTTTTATATTTAAGATTTTTTAAATAAATATGTAATATAATTTATATTATAGAAATATATATATTAATTCTAATAATGATTAAAATATCCGAGTTCAGGGTCTGAGTCCGGGTCTGAGGTGGGACTGGGACAGGTTTTTAGTAAAACCCGTAATCAGCCCCAAACCCGACAGGGGTTTAAAACTTAATATCCACAATCCACTCGAAAGCATATTTGTTAGATCTGAACCCGCCCTATTAAGAGCGGATTCGGGGCAAACCCGTTCCATTTGACATCCCTATGCAATCACAGATTTTGTCGAACACTGCAGGCTTTTGTAAGTGGTTAATTAAGATGACGTACCCTCCATCAGCATAATCTTTGCGGCATAAATATGCAAGGGCCATGAAATGAGGTATTTGCCAAAAATATAAAGCCGCGGGGAGTATCATTCCATTAAGTGAGACCTCACCAGCTGCTGCTGCCCACCTTGAAAATAAAAAGAGATGAACTGTCAGATGAGTATAGATTTCAATAAAACGAGCTTTCGCAAAATCAAAATGCCCTAAAATGTATCTGGTCAAAAGCTTTAAACATCATAACCCCTTTTGTTCATGAAGACTTATGTGTAAACATCAAGAATCAAAGTTCATTACAAGGTTTAATATTGCCCTTGCAAAATCAATTCAGTACTGCAATTTGCATTAATCTGCAGTTCATATCACAGCTTCACAACAGAGTTATCAACAACAGATTTGGTACCAATTTTTCTTCAGACAGGTTATTAAAAGTAGCACCAGATATATGGAAAAATTACAGCAGTCACTAATTTTCAGACTGAGCACACAGATCAAATCTAGAATTTCTAACAAAAGAATTTCAAGATTAATGATTGGATTCGTAAAGAAAAACCATGAAAGGTTGGCAGTAATGGATGTTCCACTTGGATATCCCAAGCAGGTGAGAAAGTTAGGTTACTTAGGCTGTTCCACAGGGAGGTTCGTAAATAATGAATACAAGGCCCTGCGGATGCAGCACAGCAGAAAGTAGGTACAAGACTACAGTCAAACTTCTTTAGGGGCACGATAAGAAATTAAGACATTTTCAAATGATAAAACCAAGAAAAAATTGTATCACAAGACGAGAACAACAGAATGCTGAACAAAACTGTAATCAACGTAGAGACCACTTGCTTTACCACATAGATCTAACCAAACAGAAACGTAAAGATGATTTGAAGTAACAGCAAATCGGAACATTTATAACAATAATCAATCACCAAAAAATTTGGTTGATGGCTCAAGTAACTATAAAAGAAAAGATAAATTGCATTTAAAAACCTAGATCAAACACCAACATGGGAGCAGATTGTAAAGCAAAATCATAAAAAATAAATAAAAGACGCTGATCAGGTTAACATCAATTTAGTAGTAAATCGACATGCCAAAGGTGGAACAAAGCATGAACAAAAAATTACCCCAGAAGAGGGGGAATTGCGCCGACTATAGCCCCGACCCAAGTATTTACTGGATGTATCTGCTTTAATGGAGTATATACAAATGCATAGAGAACTAGATTCGAAGCTGCAAGGCTAGCTGCCATCATATTAGCCTGCAAACCACTTGTCATTGAAATTGCAAAGTCAATTGCCTCACCAAATAGCTGAGAAATGGCACAGGGTTATCTTAATCCATTTTGTTAAAAGGTTAGAAAACCATGACCACCTTGCTTGCCAGTAGCACAGTTCCACCAACGCCCATGGAAGCTGCCCAGCCAACAGCATGAGGTATGGTTATACGGCCAGCTGGTAGTGGTCTTCGTCTGGTTCTGTTCATCTTAGCATCATTTTTCACCTCAAACACCTACAGCACACAAGAAATTAAATATAAAAGCCTAACCTTCTAAACCCAGCTGCAAACAGAGAATAACTTTATGCCATATGGGACTTGAAGCTAAAAGGGTCCGACACCATTATATCTGAAATTGAATCATTGATTCACTGATTCACAATGTTGTGAGTATTCAAACGGCCCACTAAATAACGGATGGTCAAGTCCTCATTCATGACTAGATGACTGTGGCCTATTTCTATTGACAAATAATGTAGCCATTCTATAAATCCAGAAAATAATATGCATTAAGCCTTTTCCCGTCAATCAATGTTGTGGATGGATAGTTAATATCTTTAACCTAAGAAAAGAAACTTATTTTGCAAAATAACATAAGGTAACCTTGGTAATTTACTTAAATTAAGTAATTCTTTAAAATTGAGAATATAATATGCTTTAATCTTTATCCTATCCGATATCCGGTTCCAACCAATCGTTCAAATAATATTGTGGATGGCTAGTTGCATAGTTATCTTTAACCGTAGAACACAAGCTTCCACTGAAAAATCATACAATCTCTTGTACATTTTACCATCATATTTTCTCGAGATTTTAAGACACTCTTATGGTAATCAAAGATAACATGAGGCACAGTAACATTTCAATTCTAAGCATTTCAATAAAATGCAATGAGAATTTCCAAATAATTATGAAGAGAATACAAACCTGGTTTAAGGAGTTAGCTGCAGCTGCAACCATCATTGTACCAGCACATGTGCAGCAAAGACCAAGATAATCGATGGAGCTTCCACTTCCAAGGATATATCCAGTGCCAGAAGTGGCAACAACAAGCATGCTGTTCAAGAAATAGTAAGAAAGTGAGACATTCTCAATTCAATCACATTTCCATAAATCAGATTCATTACAGATACAGTATCAGGTGGTATCATATTACACTTAAAATCACCGTGTGGCATCAACAGAATTTGAAATTATATTTTGAAAAGAAATAGCTGCCGCAACAGAATAGTTTTCCAGTTGCATCACCACGAATCAATTCATCACCAAACATAAGAGTTTAATCAGCTAACAAATATTCAAAATTCGAATTCAAAACCTGAGTCGAGCTTTCGAGAGTTCCCAATAACAACGCCCATAGTGCTTCGCCAAATCCGCCGCTTCCTTAACCCGAACGGCGGACGCAGCCGCCAACGACTGCAGGTCAATAGCACTCCCTGACGCCTCACGCGGCCCATAAACCGGAACCTCCGGTCCCGATTGTGCCCAATTCACCGGATTTCCGGCGGACGAAGGCTCCGACCGGGTGCAATTAGATCGAGCGAGAAGTCCATGATTCGGAGAATTCCGCGAAGCGCGAAGAAGAAAAATCAACGAATGGTTGCCACTAATCCCTACAAGCTTTGACGAGAGAGTTAGCGAATTCCGTCCCCAAATCGCCATCTCCGACGGCCGGCGACTTCGACCGGTAGAATCTACGGGAAGACAAAAAGGAAAGTAATAAAAAGCTGAAAATGAAGGACGGAGGGGAGACGCTTACTTGACAAGTCGGTGATCCAACAAACTATTTGGGCCCAATATTGAAATGGGCCGTATTACTTTCAACGGCCCAATAATTTTTTCTTCAGCCCAGACCGGACGGTCGGACCGGGAGGGTCATCGCCATATCACGTGACGCGCACGTGACAACCGCTCTTTACAAGCATTTAAATATTCGGAATTTTGTGACGTACTCTTTCGTTGGCTTTATTGCTTCCGTTGAAAAGGAAACGAGAGAAGTACAGCTACCCCTGCTCCAGGAAGGATTCCGTGAATCTCGTAATTATCGCTGAAGAGGTAGCTTTTTGATCTCTGTATTTGTAATTTTGTATACTCTGATCTTGGTATGGGTTTGAAATTCAAGTATTGTTTGGTTGAGGTTTTTATTTTATTTTTTGTGTATAGAATATTTGATTTCTGGTGGATTTATGTTCTAGCTTTAGGGTGGGTGGTTGGGGTACGGATTTGAAGTAGGTCGCTTGCTAGTTTTGTGATATTAGTTTTAAGATTATTGCGTGCTTGATCGTATGATCTGATTTCAGTGGAGGAATTAAGTTCTCCGGTTTTAGAAGTTTTTGATTTACGGCTTTCTTTTTTTGGATTAGTCTGCTTTAAACTGGATTTATTTTGACTTGTTCAGTTGAAGGAGCTTTTGTTAGATTTTGATTTTTCGTGGAATTGGGTTTGACCTTTTTCTTTTTTCTGTTTTTCAATCTTCTGGAGCAGATATAATTTTGATGTTTTACATATGGCTTTTTTCCAGTGCAGTAATGTGGTTTATTTCTTCAGATTCTGCATTTAATGGCTTCATGGGATAATTGATTTTGACAGTTTGGGTTGGTTTCATGATTTAAGTGATGTAATTGGAATGTAAGGATTCAGATTACTGGATTATGTATATGATGGAATAGGAGGATTAGAATCCTGGAATTCAATGCACAACAAGGTTTCATGACTGTTAGTCTTTTTCTATTTCAGGTATCTTCATGTAATTTTGGATCAAATGAATCACTTTCTGTTGGATTCAATGGAGTAATTTTTCTTAATTGTTGTTGAAAATTTAGATGCCATTCCTCAATCATATTGAAAATGATTGGTCTTGTTGCAAAAGTGGAACCCTAAGTATCATTATTAGCTCTACGTAGTCGCCCTTGATATGCATTCTTATAATAGATTGTCTGAACTTCCTCAGAGACATGAGGCTTCCCAGTTTTGTTTTATTACATCAGTGGAAGGAGGTTGAATTGTCCCTTGGATCAATCTATTAAAAAATTCTGCTGAGTTGGAATTGGAGCAGACTCAAGGCATCATGAACTTTAGTATTATGCTTACAACTTTACATTTTTGTGTGTGTAATAATAGTGTGCTTCGGCTTGTTTGCTGTTTTGTAGGTGAAAATGTCATTGTTTATTAAGTAAACATTTTACAAGTTGTTTAAACACACCAGAGGCATAGTTGATTCTGTTTTACATTTTTTTTTTTTCCACTTTTGATAGTAATATATTAAATGAAGTATTTTATTATGCATATATGAATCATATTTAACCCTTGGAAAACGAACATGTTTATGCACCTCTCTATATTTGTAGTTTTCTGTTTAACTTTGGGCAAATATAATGGTTGAATTTTACATTAGCGGGAGTAAGAAACTCTTTTTTGAAGAGAAGTATGCTTGAAGTTAGAGTTGGAGAACAACCTTAGAGGATATAATCAGTAATTTTTGGCTTTAGAAATCAAAATCAATCACCAAAGTATTTTAGCTTTCTATCTTCATGCATTCAATTTTGGATATTAATTAACATGACTTGAGTTTATTAGTTTATGGATAAGAAAGAACCGAGCAAGGAGTCTACAGAGGATGTGACTCGTGAGTCACTTATTGAACTCTCTTACCAACTACCCGACAACGATCTAAATGTTGAGGGCTCACCCAAATGTAAAGCTATAGAGGAAGTTGTTGAACCTCGGAATAATGATGGGTATGAGAAATATAGATCTCAGCTGATCTCCATATCTCACTCGTCACCGCCAGATGCAAATGTGTTACCGGAATTGCCTGGGCAACCCGATGATTATCTTGGACATTAAATACTGTATGTGATGGCTACAATCTCACCTTTGATCAACAACAAGTGATTTTCAAGAATCTCAGCAAATATTGAAGTGTACTCTCCTATCTTTTCAACACTTGTAATATTTTGACCCTTATAATAAATTCAATGACTTAATCTGCCATTATAATTACTTGGCATTTAACGTCGATGTGAACACTTGTGGCCAAAACTAACCCGTAAACAGTTATTCCTTAAATGGGATTGCTTCTCTTTGAATATGTTGATAGATCAGTGAGGCTGTGAGATTTAGCATTTACTTTTATTGTTTAAGTAATTATATTTTTATAATGTATATTACAATTTTTGTGCTAATCACAACATATATTTTTGGCAAAAGTACTTATAATTCACCTGTAGTTTGAAAAGTTTGTACTGTTCTCCTTCATGATTTAAAAATTGAACGAGACTTCCTTATGTTTTTAAGAAAAAGTATTGCACATAATTTATTATTTAGGAGATTATGTGCAATATTTTCAAAAACATGAGGGAGTTTCATACCATTTTTAGGAGATTTTGTGCAATATTTTTTAAAACATGAGCCTCGTGCAGTTTTTATGGTGCAATCTTTCCAAACTACAAGTAGGTTATAAACAATTTTGCTTATATTTTTTGGTTTGATATCCTGGAAGCTCTATCTAATGCTAATGGACCTGATTTTATTTAATGTTCGTAGATTTTCATCATCCTTTGCTTTATGTGCTTATGAATTAACTTGATTATCTTGCTCATTATAAAATTTAGAACTGTGGGATTCTTCTTTATATCATATGTCATATCTTTTCAAAGTCTATGCAATATATATATATATATAATAATTAATAGAGATCTGGACTTGTATCTGGAACCTCAGATAGCTGCAATCAAGGAAACCGGCGACACTCTTATCAGATTCATTTCTGGACTGATTATCGAGTGCACTGGTATGTGAGATGTCTGGCTTTTAATTCTCTCTTCTTTTGTTCAGGACCAAAAAATTTGTGCCGGGAGTGTCTCGAACTTCTGGCTCCTATTAATATATCTCAAGTGCATGCATACTCGCCAGGTTCTGATAGCTTGACTCATTTTCTTGCTATGTTTACTTAACAGGCACATAGTCAATGTTTACTATACCAATTATCTCATATGTTCAATTGCATTAGGTTATAAATGCTACACAATTATTCACCATTTTGTTGCTAGCTAATTGTCCAAATTAGTATAACGAGAAAATTGTGTACTTACATTTGTGGAAAATTTTCGATTGAAAAAAAAAAATTAAAAACAATTAATGAAATTGTATGGCTACATATGTGAATCATCCTTATGTTTCAGCAGGGTATGGTTTACAAAAGAGTGTAGGGACAGGATATTCTTTAATTCTTTGTACAAGATAAAATAGATAGGTAGTGTTAATTGATAATGCAGTTAAAATTGCAAAATTAAATATAAGATTGAAGTAATAACATAAGGGATATTTGTTTGTTGGATTAGTGAAAAAGAGTACGGGTGAATCTATTCAAGCTTTTGTGTTTGATTGGAGGGTTGGATTTTAAGTTGGGATTTGAATAGTAAAATTTTTGAATTGAAATAGTTGTATGATACTCCCTCCGTCCCAATACAATAGTCTTGTTTACTATTTTTGTCCGTTCCAAAACAATAGTCTTGTTTACTATTTTTGTCCGTTCCAAAACAATAGTCTTATTTTCATAAATAATCATATCACTGTATAACTACTACCCTTACTCTTTTATTATTATTACACAATTGCCCCTATCTTTTACACTAATATACTCATAATGGCGAAAATGTCTTTTATCCATACTTTTTACCCACTATCGATATAATATTAATATTCTTTAAATCTCGCGTCCAACACAACCAAGAGTATAGTTCCGGGACGGGGAGAGTATGATATAAATAAGTATTGATGTGATATTTTGAATGTAAAATTGATTTTTAGTATAATATAAAAAAAATAGTAGAATTTTTTTGAAGTTTGCCAAAAGAACACACATTGATTGAAAACTATGTGATACTTATTAAATATACATATTAATAGCAATTCTCTTTTAGAGATGACAATAATTTGTACTCCCTCTCATCTAATTGTATGTGTTCATTTGATTTAGCATAAATTTTAATAAAAAAGTTAGTAATAATTGTTAGTTTTTTCTTGTTTTAGTAAAAAAAAAAATACAAAAATATAATATTTTTTTATTTAAAAAATAAAAATATTTATCTTAGACAATCTAAATAAAGGATATAATATTTTAAGAAGAGAAACAAATCCCTGTGGGAATTCGAGCTTATATTAGGGTGTTCATTGCGGATTCATCAGCATGTTGATTGTTTCAATAAAGATACGATAAATAGCGTATAAAAATATAACAGACAATACATAATATTGCTTGGTTTATTTCATGTGTTACATAGATTTATATTTAATATTTGAGGATATATATTGTTGTGGTGATTATAATACCATCAAAAAAATTCAATGCATTTTAGTACCCAACTCTCACTCTCTCTTGGACTCTTTCATTTGTATTAATTTCAATTTATTATAGATTGTAACTTAAGAGTTGATATTTATTTTGGGTAGGTTTTGGGTTAGACCTAACTCCTACTCAGAACCTACCTAAACTCACTTAATTCAAAGGCCAATTTGATGATCTTAAATCTTAATGTAACTTTGGATAGACCTATTAAATAAAAGTATGAGCAAAGGAATCTCTGGATTTAAGGTTTGTTTAGATATGCTTTTAGCTTATTTTGGATTGTTTGGAAAATAATAAAAATTTGAATGAAACATAGGTATTGAATGAATATAATGTAAATCTTTAATCAAAATTTTAAATAAAATAAGTATCAAA